TTTTTGAGCTACTGCCTCAAATGTCTTTTTGTGAAAGTTTTGTTCAACTTGAGCAATTGTGTTGTTCTTCCTCCCTAAGAAATAGTGTCTTTTACAGAGCACAGTAAACCTGAATAATCATGGTATAATTAACCCTGTGGACCTACAGGAGACAAGAAATATAACCTAATTGCATGTGCAAGTTCACACAAAGATCTTCCTAAACATACCCAAGAACAATAAGAAAAATATTAGACATTATCAACAAAGCATTTGCCTGGAGAAAGGCTGTGAAATGCCAATGAACAATGTACAGAAAGGGATWAGGAAAGATACTGATGAAGTAACTAGTGAAGGGGTAAAACATTGTACCTTTTAGGACAAACTTTTTGCTCTTTTCCTTTTCTTACGTTGGAGAAGTCAGCTCAGGAGCAAAGCTGTGCCCAAGATGAAGCCAGGACATGAAAACTCCTGCCCCCTGTCCTGTCACTACCTAGTCTTTCCAAAAGTCCCTCTTTCTCCTTTCTGCAAGCTCCCTTTAGGTGCTGAAAGGCCACAATGAGCTCACCTCAGAGACYTCTTTTCATGCTGAACAAACCCAGCTCTTCATAGGAGAGCTGCTTCCACCCTCTGATCATCTCTGTGSCCTCCTTGGAACTCACTCCAACAAATCAATATCTTATGCTGGGGGCTGCAGAGACAGGGGCTCAGGTGGCRTCTCACGAGAGCAAAGTAGACAGGGAAAATTCCAAAGACTCAAGCCATTTCTGAGTTAAAGGTAAGGAAAAAATTGCTTGGCTTTCTTTGCCTTGAACTCTAGTGACTTGGACACTCTAGTGATCTGGAAGAAAATGCACGCTGGATCTGGCAGGAGRACACAGTTGGCACACTGGGTGGATGTGCATCTTCTGTGAAATTTCCTGTGGGGWTCATTAAAGCTGGTACTACCTTTGTCCTGTTAAGGGACACAAAGTTACACAGTGCTCTGCAGAACCAGAGCTTCATTTCACAGTTCACAAGCAGGGTAAGTGCATGGTCTTCTAACATCTTCTCCTTGCATGCTTTTGTAGAAATTGCAAATATTGCTAGGAGAAATGCCTTGGGAAAATGTATTTTCATATCAGTCTATCTATGGAAAAGGATGTGAAGTATTAAATGTCACCATGGATCACAGCAACAAGAATTCCAGCCTATGCTAAAAATCCGCTGAAAAATTCAGCAGATTCTGATCTTCAAGCATCAGAAGTAATCTTYTAATAGTATTTGCATAGCACTGAAATTAAAGAACTGCATTTATCATTTCTCAGTTGAAGCAGATGCATTAGACTTGACAGCAATGGAATTAAAAGTTGAAGCTCATCTGATTTTATTTACCCTACACAAGATGCTTGATCATATTGAAAASGTAGTTTCCAATCATTCATGCAGGTAAAGCGAAAACTTTGCTTTTAAGGTCTAGTTGGTACCAAAGTCTTGTGAATTTCTGTTATTTAAGCTGAATTTTGTACCATCCTGCACAAGGATTAAGAAATTCACATCAATTTTCTTTTGAAGCTGTGGACATTTTTTTTTTCCAGACAGGAAACTTTCCAGGACAGAGCTTGATTCAGAACCTGAGTTTACGTATTCAACGTGCTGACCAGATGAATTTTGTGGCATTCATGGTGGGGCACAGGAACCCTGGTGAGAGATGGGCCTTGTCTGGAAACAGGAGAAGCTGCACAGCTCCTTCTGCAGCAGCGCTTGGGTGGAGGAGCTGGCTGCCTCTGCTGCTCTGCCAGCTCCAAGAGCTGTCAACTCTGCCTCAGGCGTTGTCAGCCTGAGAATTCAGACATCCAAAAGCAGCTCTTTTTTGCAACATCCAAACACAAACTGCACAAACACATTCACAATGCTCAGTATCAACAAAAACTAGGTGGTTCGAGTCTGAAATGGTGACAAACCTGTCATTCTGCCAGCAGATGGCAATCAAAACAAAGAAACATGATTACTGCTGCTAACTAATTCCACATGAAGTCAGGTGCATTTTATTCAGGAGACTAATGCAGTTGCCATCCACCACGAGAGGATACACGGCAGAGAGGTGGTGAGCTGAGCACAGGCCAAGGAACTGCCTGCATTAGGAAAAGCAGAGTACAGAATGACATCCCTTCTGCCTCTCCCTCTTGGATGAATTCCTGTTAAGACTTTATCAGAAAGCCCCAAACATCCTCTCTTACATCTGGAGATTGTAAGCAGCTGCCGTTCAACTCTACATAGGAGATGTGGTTCTCATGATCTCCCACACACAAGAGAAGAAATAAAGAGGTCTGACAGAGGCTTGTACCTTGCACATGTGAGGCAGCATCAAGAGCAGGTGCACAGCAGCAGGTGAGGAATTACGTGCTCCTGGTGGTACGAGCAGCAGAAACAYTTAGTGAAAAGTGAGTGGGAGAAGAAAGAGGGAGGGCAGCTTCCATAGTGAAGACAGATGAGAAAAAAAAACTGTTGGTAATAAAATTAAAATTTTATAACCCCTGCATTCACCCCTGATTTCAYGATGAGTCAGTAAAGGCACAAGAGGCGAGTAAAAACATCTCAGTGTGAAATKACATAGAATACACACAGAGTTCAACAGCCCTAATTCAATTCATTGAAAAAAACACACAGAAATGCAGTTCCTGTGGTTCATACATCCATAGAACAGAACCTGGTGCCTTATTTGCCTCCAAGGTGAGCCGCAGCTAGGATGTGGACAGAGCAGGTGCACTGCAAGAAAGGAAGAGCTATGAGGCATCACAGCAGCTAACTGCTGTAGGTTGACTGTTTCTTGTTCTGCTTCACTGAAKGTCATTTTCCACGTGAAGTCCAGTGAATCCATTGCTTTAGAAACTCGAGGCCCAGGGAAAGACAAAACCTTGGAAYGATGACAAGAAGGAAGTCTTTGGGTCAAACACTCCACTGGCAGYGTCTAGGAATGCTGTCAGCACCATTTTTGAGCTCCCTCATGAGGCTGACAGGACTAGGCTAGCAGTGATAAGGAAAGGAGCAGACCCAGTGGGAGCACCAAACTCAAACTACACTATGGAACACTCAGTGCTTCACAGCACACACAGCAGCACGCTGCAGTGGCAAACCAAGGCTTGTAATTTAAWTTAGCTTCCTGAGCAAGCTGGATGAGCTGTTTCTTCAGGTCTCATCATGCACATGAGAAGCGTGCTGAACACACTGCATATTGTCAGGGAGGCAGCACGCTCACAGTACCATCTCCTGCAGAGTTCGTGTGCAGTCCTGCTGCCCACCACAGCACAGAGAGGCTAGCACTGCAGTTCCCCAGTTCATAATGGCCTTATCAAATGTAACCCCCCCCCCCAAACACTGGCACACAGATAACTGTTAAATTCTTGGGTCTGCCAGCAGCATTACACACCAGAAAACCTCTCAGGCATTATTCTGTGTGTGCCCTGAGCTTTGATTAGGACCAGGAGTCACTTTGAGAGAACAGCTGTCAGCTTTACAGATYAAAAGAGATGAGGAGTTCCTCATAAGTTTGTACTAACAGGGATCCATCTAGTTCAAGTCTTCACCTAGCTACATGTTCCATTTTCCCTCCTTCAGTGTTTTATACCAAAAAAATCTGCCAGAAGTTCTTCTYACCCTCCTAAGAGAGGCAGGGCTGAGGCAGGGCAAATCAGAGCCTCTACAATGCTACAGTAACCAGATCAGCTGTCCACAAGTACAGACTTGGAAAACTTTGATTGCTAGAAGTTKCTCTGCACACCACAGCAGTGTTTCTGCTGCCTTTTAAAATCCTCCACTGTTTTGTTTACTCTACTTAATACTGAATTTAGGCCATGCTATTACTTTGTAATGCATTTCGCCTAGCCGGTGTAATTACTGATGCCTGCTAGCTTGACTCTTCAGGATTTCTATCTGCTGTGTTCTCCCAAGTCTTTCTAAATACATATTAGAGTAGCCAGAAACCTGCATATGGCAAAGGAAGATACACTTGACTAACACCATCTTTCTTTGCTGCAGTGGTGAAGGACCAGAAGTAGGTATCATTACATTTTTTTCCACATCTTTCCMGGTTAGTAATAAACCAATTAGCAGCAAAACTGGTAGTATGTTCTTTATGTGAAGAAAGGTCTTTMGCATCTTGTCACTGAATAATCTATCATAAGTTCTTGGAAACCCATCAAATTATCCAAAGTAATAAGCAGAATATGAAAAATAGCCCACTGTCCAGTAGCAATGACCTTTCCATAAGACAATTGGTTTGCTTGCTGGTCCTAATCTTTCTTGACACATGCATTTTCACCCATCCTTCTTTGGTCATGCCTGTCCATTCTTTCATCTCCTCCCTGTTTTTCACCCTTCTCCTTGGGGATCCCCAATGGTAAGCCTATAGTTCTGTGCTTTTATCTTCAAAATAAACTTTCTCTATGTCACCGAAGAGGCTTGTTCCCACCTATGGAAGATCCTTCTTGCCCATTCTCGTGTTGAGCATGGAGTCCAAAGATGCCTCTGGGCACCTTGCCAGTACGCTCCCAGCAGCAGCTCACCCTTTGCCAAGCCACATTCCCTCAGATTACTGCCACCAGCAGTCCTTCATTGATGGATGTGCCTCTCCACCATTCCTACAGACTGCCCATTCCTCTCTCACGCCTCAATCATGTGTGTCCATGTCCTCCTGCTCTCTTCCCTTTGACTACTGCCCTGCTCTTGGGCCAGAAATTCCATTGGGCAGTGGAAGAGCACTGCACCAGATCCTGTGCAAGAACCTCCACAATCCAATACAGGCACTTAAAAAATGCAGCTCCCAAACCTCAAGGCACACTGCAGCGATGTCTCTCTGACAGGAGAGACACTTCTAAAGAGCCACTTACATCCTAAAAGATTCAGTCAACCTGAAAATACCAATGAGAACCAATTCTCTAACATTTACGTATTGTTCTGGAAGAGGCAGTGGAAATGCTTTGGGTGTTCAGACTGCTTCTCCCGTGGTAAAGAAGGAAACATACAAAGTTATTTTKTTTGCTTTAATTGATCACTGGTTAAATTGTAATACATTTCAAAGCAAAATATTATGTTCAAGGACATTGTACCAAACATTAAATCTACTTTTAAACAAGGCTTAATTTGACAGTTTTACCTTATATACATACAGGTACAAGTTTCATTTCACCAGTAGCAAAATTACACAGTACATTGCATTTCCTGAAAGATGGCAAAAACAGGACTTGAGTGTCTGCTCTGTCCTTACACACACTCCAAATCAGAAAAAAAACCCCACAGGTATTGAAAGTACAATCACAACTACAGGTAAATACAATAAGGACCTCAGAGCAAGCCAAGACCTTATGAGAGATGACAATCACTTCTAGAAATCTACATTGCAAATATACAGTACATTCCACTAAAGAGTTTTGGGAGTTCTCACGATGCCTCTTAATCCCCTTTTGGTAATAAAAGCTTCTGTGACAACACGTATCCTTCATAAAAATTATTGAATTCGTATTTTTGGAGCATATGTTGGAAGCCTAACGCAGTCAAAACTGCAGTCCACGATAAGCTCACCCAAAGAGAGAGTAAGCAAGCACTGCAAGATGGATCAAGTTCAGAACCAGAGCTCAGCTCCTTGCCTTTGGGCTTCTGGGTGCAAGAGCTGCTCTGCACCAGGGACAGGCTCAAAGGGTGAGAAATGTACATTCCTTTTACTGCTGTCGCAGGTCAATCACCTGCAAAATCTTAACAGAAAACATCAACTGACTCATACAAGATTAAATTGAACTTATTTACAAAGCAGCTGTGACACTGCAATTGTTAGACAATTAAGGACACAGCTGAGGAGCCACAAGGTTTCCACAATTATGCTATCCCTGAAACGCTGTGAGCAGCAGAGAATGCGGCGGCCAGCAAGCATACAAACACACTGCCACTGCTGGGGAAACTGCAGCCTGGCCTCAGGAGGTGGAATGGTGCATGGAACCCAGCAGCCTCAAAGGCCCGATGAGATTTCTGTCACACTCAAACTCTGCTTTGGTTTGTGCAAAATATTAATCTTGTGCACATAGCTTTCACAAACGAACTGTTGCTCTATGCTTGGCCAGACAAAATGGGAGGAACTGTCCAGAATTATCAAGAAAATGGAGGTAAACAAGGCATTTTTCATGAGCACTTGTTGCCATCAACTACAACACCAAGGACTCTGCCACTGTTGCAAAAAAAATGTACTTACTTCATCAGCACTGTTGGAGGTTTTTCTGTTCTGTACTTGCTGGAGAAGCTACCACTGATTAGCAAAATACTTGAACATGACCCAAATAACAAGGAACTTTTCCTTCTAGGCTTTATGGCTAACTAACAACTAACATCTTTCCTGCTCCTAAGGAACTCTGACAGGACTAGGAAACATCAAACAGGCATGCCTGAGGTTGAAGACATTTCCTCCAACACCCTTCAAATACATCACTTGTCTCTATTAGGCAGACTCCAGCCACACACAATCTGAACACCAATTCTTCTTCACAGATCTCTGTTTTAAAAGTTATGTTGCTGGACTCCCCAGATCTAAAAGCAACGTAACACAAGCAATTTAACTAAAATAACTAATGGAAACCTGCCCAATTATTTCATAAACCTGCTTTATAGAAACTTCTGGGGGAAAAAAAAAAAAAGCTAAGGACTTTATACTCCCACCTGCTACAGTCAGTCAGCAGCATTGTAAAACGGTTGGAAAAGCAGGCTGCAAACCAGGTTGTCCCTGCTAGTCTTGACCTGTTTTTAGCAGAGGTAGGTAGCAATAGGTCAGTGAAAGAGAAATAGAAAACAGTATTTCAGACACTTTAGAGCCCTGGTGTACTTCTCTACTCTTCCTTTAATCTATCTTGTGCTGTTACCCTTTGTTCTTGCAATAACCATGCCAGCTGACACACTTGTGGAAAGTGAGCCCTGGTAGGTTGCAAACACTGCATGACATTAGTCAGGTGCTGTTTTCAGACAAGAACAACCAACATGGGCCACCAGGCACCATGATTTGCTGCAAGAGTCAAGGAGGTGCTTCACAAGAGAACCTCAAGTGCCACATGCAAAGCCTGTTGCCTGCTGTCAACAACCCAGCTACCTCAGCTTCAAGCTTCATAGCCAGCAGAAGCAGATATGAAGTCCAGTTTTCAGGGCATGGCTTCAACATGTCAAAATTTAACTGTACAAGGAACAATTACCAGAAAATACACATTTTAAGCAAAGAGAGAATCCAGCCAAGTCTCTGATTAATAATTTTTTCTGAAGCTGGTTCTAAAAGCTTTTCAGTTTGTGAACACTAAGAATGCAGCTATAGTGAAATGTATGTTTCATCATTTGCACTCCTAGCCCATAAAGCAGACAGATAAACAACCAAGTAAAAAGCATACAAAAGGTTGAAAAGCCCTCACTCCCAAATTTTCTACCACTTTTAATCACTGTTTTAAGATTAATCCATACAGAATGGCTGGACTGTTTCCAAACGACCCTCCTTTATAAAAGTTGCATTAAGACTCAATACAAGCTTTTATTAAACATACTTTAACTTCCTTCTTCCCAGGTTCTTGTAATTAATATATACCTTGCACTAAGAAACACCTTTAATGGTCCTCATGCTCCTTTGCGTTCCACAGAAAAYAAAACTTCAGTTTATTATGTTCATATTCACCACTTGACCTTTTTTAATATCCAAATCACAGTTTGCTTACAGAATCTTAGTGAAATCCCCATTGTTTGCACATTCTTGTATGTAACACAGATGAATAGCACAGTTAAAGAAAATAAACCCAAAACACTCTACCTGAAATAGCTTCATTGCCAAGATTCAATGATTTACCAAACCAAGCCTCTCCCAGATTCGTAGCAGCAAAATTCAATAATGTAGAAAGGAGTAGGATAGAGAAATGATTCAGTTCCCCCACTGAGAACCAGAGCTGACTAAGCCATAAAATAAGCTGAGCACAGTTCTGTCTGAAGACACAGTAATTGTCTACTGGCTCTTGGAAGAATCCATAGCCAAACCTCTTGATTTTCCATAATTTTAAAAAAGAACAAGCCAATTTCAAGAGATCTTCAGTTCCAGGTAAAGTATTTGCACTCATGTTTTCCCTGCCTACTTAAAATCACATCTAAGGTTCTTCTCTGATGTTTCAAAAAAATTTTGCAAGCAAGAGTACAGAAATTAAAAAAATATTAACATAGACATCATCCAGAAAATGCTACCAAATGTACAAAGCAGAGGAAGATGYTTTCCACCCAATTTTCATGTTTGAATTTTTGAAACATGTATTYCAAGAAAAGATAAATTAAAAATGTATGCCTCAAAATTAACTTGTCTGTATATGGATGAATGTGGTTTTTTAAAGCATTCCTTCTGTACTTGAAGCAACTCCCTCAGAAATGCTTTATCTCTTAAATGTATATAGGACTGCAGTCTGTCCTTTTAAACCTGTTACTATAGCATTTGCCATTTGCCCTAGAACTGTAAAGAGCCACGCCAGTCTCCCACAAACCTATCCTATCAGCAAAAGCCTTTAATTTCCATGGATGCAAAACACATACACAGATTTAATGAAGTGTCCAAAGGAAAAAAGACCAACTACTACTTTAAATCAGACAGCAAGTTACATACTTTCATGAAGAMATCTACTGAGATTTAAGATTGCTTCAAAGCAGTAACTGAAATACAACGGCAGCTATGAATAATACATAACCTTCCTGATCCATAACTGATCTTAGCTTCATCTTTAAAAAAAAAAAAAAATCACAGCAGCTGAATATATATGCAAATATACACAAACAAAACCTTTGATCAGAGATTAGTAAGTAACTGTGTTGTATCAGAGCTGGAGACTAGACATTGCAAGTGTTCAGCAGCCTCTAACCCATCAGCTTTCAGGCTGGTGCATCAGTGGAAAATCTCATCCAACACGGATGGTTCAGGTGGCATTAGAATCTCGTGTTTCCTGTTCCGATGTTGCTCAGCTGAACAGTTACCTCTGCTAATAATACAGTTTCCCTCTCAGTTAAGCATGCAAAATGTACAAAAAGGCAAGTGATCAAAATATCCCCTTGAATGCCCAACTGTACTGTATCAAGAGACTGCTGCTGAACATTTAATATCCCAGCACTAATTGTCAATGTTTTCAAACTTGATATGAAAATTGCATTTTGTTATTACACATAGTATAACAGTCATTGGTCATGTGCATCATCCACCCCAGCACTAGTGAAAAAGTGCCTCCTGAACAGGCATGAGAAAACATGGCATGTTTTGTCACCAAGTTGTGTCTCTACTCAGAAATTCAACAGTCCACCAAAACACACCATGTTTTCACATACTCTGATGCCACGCGTATGTCAAAAATATAGACGTTCAAACATGCAGCAAAATGTGTTAAAGCACTTTAAATGCTCTCCATATGATAATGAGTGATTTAATACTCAGACAAATCAAAGCACAATAAAAGGTTTGTGCTTATGTTTCAAGTTTCAGAGTAACTTTGTTTCTATCAGAGTATCTGAAGTGCAATGAAAAGGAATGTTCCACTGAAATCAGAAGCAAGAGACTTTCAAAGAACTAGGAAAATAAGCACAGGTCAGAGTATTTCCAAATATTAATAATAAATAACAAAATATCAGGAACATGCAGACTTTAAAGACATAATTTCTTTTTAGAATCATGATATGTAAAAAAAAAAAAACCAGGAACAACTCTTTCTGACTTTCTCACATGTTGTGTCTTTTTTTGGCCAAACAACTGTTACTGTCTTGTAAGGAACATAGATATTACCAGAAAACATTATTTACAGAATGATTATCTGATTGGTTATATAAAATACAGATGAAAATATACACCCTTAGGTTTGAGATAAGCCAAGCAAAATCACTGCTGCTAACTAAAGCACTTTGAAGAAGGCGACAAGCATCAGATATCAAAACTGAATCACAAAACTACTCAAAGTAACAGACAAATTTGGGAAGGTAGAGGTACAGCAAAGATCAATTAAGTTGGAATGATTGATAACTAATACTAGCCTATCAGGAATTATTTAGCTTCATTAAAATTCTATTTTTCTTTTACAAAACTGAAGAGAAACCTTTACTCCCAGACTGTGATTTCTACAGGTACTCAGCAGCTTTTTTCTTAATACATCTATGTAATGCTTTGTACTCTACATCTTACAAAATACATCCCCACATTTAAGTGCATGACTAGAAACTGTGCTGAAATCATGGAAAAGCGCTTCATAAATCTTAGGCGCAATAAAGTCATAATGCTCAGCTCCAGTTTCTGGAAGCAGTTCTGTGAAAGGTGAAGTTTCARAAAAGGGACTTTGATCCCTGGTTTTCAAACTCTGACCATGCATCATTCAATTCCATGAAGATCATTTTGGCATATTGCTCGTAAGGTTGTCCTGTGGCCTGGAAACAAAGAGAATGAACCATAAGCATAAAAATATTAAGAATTAGGTCACTTAGGAAAGATACTACCCCTTTTATATTTGTTGTCTTATTCAACAGCTATAGACTACTTTGTGAAAATAACCTTACATACACAGAATTCTCTCCAGCCTTATCCAAACCTTGCCATGAGTATTTTAAACAAATCCAAATCCTTGATCTCCTTACACTACCTTCAAGCTTTCCGTATAGTTCACAAATAATTGCAACTAAGTTAAAAACAGTTTTCAAAGCTGTTCTTTCCATAGATAGCTTYAGTTATTATTTAATAATCAAATTAAGTCATTTTTGGAATTGCTTCCTGAAACACCTTGCAGTAGTGCATATAGATAAAATCTGAATCCTATTTAAGACAACTTCTTTTGGATGGGATTCCCTGAAGAAAAATCTTTTGCTGGCTGTAAATCATTTTAAGTTTCAACATGACTGACACAGAACCTCCTGTGTGTTTTTGCTTCCAAACTCAAAGACAGGACACTCCTAATTCCCTGCCTGTTTCACAGCAGCCCTGACTCTGGGCCAACACAACCCAACCCAACCCTCATGGTTAATAAAGTCCCAACACATAGTTTTTTCCAACAAAAAAGAGAAGCCCCAGAGCCCTCCAGTATTCTTCCCTTTCTCCTGCTGCCTAGTTTTTGCCAGATTTGGTACTTTATTGACATTTTTAGAGAGTGCTTTAACAGGTAAGTGGCGGAATAAAAAAAAACAAGGAAGATGAGTATGTCTTAAAGAGCTGCATTCCGAAACTGATGCATTAAGGGGCTTACAGAAAACACCTAAGAAAACCACCACAAAGATGGAAGAAGTCATATGGCCAAGAACACTGAAGGACAGGAGGGATCAAAAATAAACCAAAGATTGACTTGTTTTTTTCTGTATGGGCACAAAACAACATAGGGTTTAGATTATGGCTCACCAAAACATTATGGAATGCAAACCTGAGAATTTAGACCCAGTACATCCTATCAATGCCTATCTTTATATGTAATTCAATGGCTCAGAGTAAGAAGCTAGCTTGATACATTGGGATGCATTAAATATTTTTAAAAAAACAACTGTAATGCAATACTCATTAAATACTTTTCATCTGATAATTTGTTTATTCTAGCAAGTTTACTTTTACAAGTAAAAATGGTTTGGTAAATGAGGTTCAGCAGGCTTTTCCTACCAGTTCTGCTGTGACAGTCTCTGAGTCGGCATCTTAGTTCCAAAGGACTAATTCACAGAAATGAAACATTCCACTAATCAGCATTAAATCTATCAGCTGTTAGTCAGAACCTAGCATGACTTTGGTACTCAGTACAACCTTAATGGGATCTTTCCTTTGTTAAAACTTGTCTGTTGAATTCTGTGCTGTGTCAGGATGACAATAATCCTGTATTACCTGTATTACACAGTAGGACATTACATGGAGAAGACAATAAAAGCAAACTAAAGAGCATCTAGAGTGTTGATTGAGAAGCAAGGCATTTGCCAGTGACCAGCATGGTATGGTAAAAGTAGTTTGTATTTCTTCTGAAATAAAGAGGAACACGCTTACCTTATCAGGATGAACCACAAGCACTGCTCTCCTGTAGTACTTCTTTACTTGTTCAGGAGTCACTAAATCTGCCATGCTGACTGGTTTCCACTTATTTTCCCCTTCCCAAAGTACTGTATGAAGAGTGGATATTAATGCTCTAATATTTCTCTCTTTTCCTTCAATCCATTCAAGAATCTGGAAAAATCAGAATACATAGAACTGAATGCAGCACTATATGCATTCTCAGCCTCTGCAAACAATCTTCACTCTTTGCAAGACCATATGATAAAGACTCAAGTACAATTGTCCTACTGCACTCACTCCCCAAATTCAATCGTCCTAGCCACCCAAAAAGTGGTATTTTGCATCTACCACTAGGGAATAGATCACTATGACGAGTTTATTGCAGAAATTCAGTCATTGCAAGAGAATTACTGATATGGTTAAACATTACAAACCCATGTAAAAGTAATGGCAAGAGAATTGACAGGAATAATTAAAAATACCTGTTAGATATTACATTAATCTGGTCCCTGTCAGGACACAGCCACTGAAATTATTACTTTATTTGAACAGAAGTGTAAATATATTTTAAAACTTCTTTTGTACAAGCTTTTTATAAAAGATCATGTCTGTTAATATTTACTGTTTACTTAAGAAACTTGCAGAGGTGCATATATCTTTGAGATATGCCCACAGTCAATTAGAGTAACTTTGCAGACTTTAACAGCAATGTTCAAGCCATGATATAAGGAGGATACAGTGTCTTCATTGATAGTTACACAGTATGAAAATCTCTGCCCTATATCGCCAGTGAGGGTGGCTTCTAATTATCTACTTTTTTCTATTTGTGGCAATATGTGTTAAAAGGCACCCAACATGCAAGCAATGCATGCTCTCTTCAGCCAGGACACCCCACAGAAACAAGTTCCAGCATCCCTCTAAAGTCCTTTCACAAACTTTACTAAAGCACCATAAAGACTACAAACCTAAAAGTATATTAATACGTGAAGTTACGAATGACTAATGTGTCACAAAAATATACAAGAACAGCAAAAATAGCAAGAAYACCTCCTAAACTAGTTATATAGCCTAAGTCCAGAAAGAAGTGCACCCTCTAGTAACTTCTTACAACAGCAGCAGCACTTATTAACCAGTAAATGAAAGTACATGGTCACACTAAAGACAGCTAKTCTCATATGACTCATTTTTAAAGCATATTTTTGTATCATCAGCTAAACCATTAGTTTCTCTGTTAGTCATTATATCCTTCTGCTCTGGTATCAGCAATTCTAAGCATAAAATCAGATTTTCACTTAMATCAAAATCACTGTTAAACCAACCTTGAGTTTTAAGGGGTCCATGTCTTTAGACATCTCTTGTTTTCTCATCTCAGCAATTGTCTTTGGTCCCTTTTTATCAGATTTTGCTGAAAATCCTTGATTAGATAAGAGATCCTCAAAATCATTTTCTGAAACTTTTGGCTTTTGACCTGTGAAAGGAGAAAAAAATATTAAATGAAAAGTTAYACAGGAGAATACATTAACAGGGGAAATATATTACACTTACATACCCTCCAGGTATATCTATCACTACCATGATAAATATTCTTCAGTGACAACAAATGCCACAAGACTACGCATAGAAATAAAAGGGATCACGAAAAAATTTTCAGTCCAGCAGAGCAGACCACCTCACATGCTAACCTCTGACTAAATATCTGTATGTCCTTTTTAAAAATGTTTAGTAGATTTGAGGCATCACACATCTATCCATGATTTTGGAAATCATTCCATTCTTCCATTTTAAGTTAGTTCTAAGTGCTGTGCAGGAGTTTTTCAAGTAACCATACACTCAGTTGAATATAACCAATACTCTAGTTGAAAACATGTAGTCAACATCTAAGTATGTTAAAACTTATACATAATAATGAAGGGATAAAATAGCCAACATAATTATTCATTACAGAACCAACAAACTTCAGACAACTGTAGAATAACTGAGCCCTGAAGAGGCCTCTGGATGTTACCTAGTCCAATTCCCACTCGACACAAGGACAACTAGGTACTTTTGTTAGGTCCTTGTACAGCTGAGGTCCATCTGTTTTCAACAGAGAGGAATTACAACATACTGTTGCAGCATTTCGTCTTGCCAATTGATTTTTTGCCTTGTTCTACAGACTCTGCCATGCTGCAACCTATGATCACTGCCTTTCATCCTGACACCTTTTTCCAAATATGGACCARCAGAAGAATTTCAACTTAAAGAAGTACCTGCTGTTCACTTATATGCCAGTTTAAGGCAGGCAGATTCTCAACATGAAAACACCAGAAAATAATTTTTTCCAAGAAAGGTCATACAGGAGAAGCCAACCCTATTTCTTTAATTCAAGGTTTGCCTATTCAGTGGGAATATCTGAAAGGACTGTATGATTTCACCTTTTCCTGTCCCCATATCACTTTCAAACACAAGAATTTTTAGTTATTTTAACCTTGATCTTTCTCAAGACTAGCTACTCTTCTTCAGCTAGGAAAAACACTGCATCCCTTTACCTGTGTATCACAAACACACAAACATGAAGCAACAATATCAACCATCTCTGCCCAGATGGATCAAATTTATGTTTCTAAACTCAGTGATACAAAATCAGTACCCATGTGGGTCAGTGGATGAGTGGCCTCGAGACTTTATGACCAAACTCACATATACTTGTGCCACTGTCAATTTATCTGTTATGTACTGGGATAGCTTTGGAAAAGCAGAATACCAGACTTGCCAAGTCTTTTTCTGTTTTTTACTAGAGACAACCTAAACATAAATAAAATTATGAAGGTGGAAGAGCTTCTGTAGGTAACAGCAGAAGTAGAGACCTTACTTTTATTCACATGGAACATTGGAAGTAATTCAGAAAGCTCATTCAGAAAACTTACCAAAACTTGGAGCTCTAACTCCTCTTTCTTCTCGTCCTCCGATAACACTCAAGTTCACTGTGTAGTTGGGCTTAGGTGCTGTGCTGGACTTAGTCTGGGATGGCCATGGAGTTGTTTGTGGTTTGTGGGATTTCTGCCATTGATTTCCCGGCTTCTGAGATGGTGCAGTCTTCTGATTAAATCCACTACCCAAGAGTCCACCAGTGGATGAACCTAACAATAAATACTAAGTTAGTTGATCAGGTCAGTGCCTGCTACCTGTTCAATACAAGGACAATTTGGTCTTGATATATAACCACATAGCTCACAGAATACCACCATACAAGAGAAAATGTAACAGGAAAGTGCGGGTATAGTGAATTTAAGAGTCTCATTAAAACATAACTTGAAGAGCAGGAACTGGAGGCATGAAAGTCTTCTTTTACAACTCAACGTCTCAACTGTCAGTTGAGCAAAAACATGCACTCTTATCTGAAGGGTCAGGCATGTGTCAGGCCAGGAGATAATAAAGTAACAGTAGTTCTACCTCCCACTTCAGTACACCTCTGCTAATGTGCAGTGCACAAATATTTACTTACAAACTAAGGTCACAGAACGAGAATATTTTCAGCTGAATGCTTTCAAGGTCTCTAGTGACTCCTTGTACTACTGTTTAAGCAAGATGAGAAGATTATTCTACAATACACATTTTCAGCATTCACAGGAAATATGGCACACAAGAAAAGCATTGCAGCTTGCAGGAGATACTGTGACCACCCCACTGTGAATAGGCCAAGCTCGTCTGGGTATACACAGCAATGTAAACTTGGTTTGCTCTTTGAAAAATGGCTCCTCACACTTCAGCTCTCCTGCTACCTCTTTTTCACAGCAGCTGCTCATAGTTCTAACCTGCACAAGATGATATCTCCCCGGGGCCATATATAAGGTCCTACACACTATCTTGAAATACCACACCTGATAAAATCTAGTATTGCAATACAACACCTAATAAATTCCAGGAATGCACTGTTTTTTTCATGAAATCACTCAATTGCAGTCAACTCAGTCTTCAGTCCTTGACAACTTGTGAAATTCACAGAAAAAAAATTGTTACTAGTCAGASTAAATAACTCCCCACACTGAAAAATTCTCTCTCCTACTCCTTCAAAGCATTCTACTTTCCTTATGCCAGTTTTCAAGGCCAACAAATTTTTCCTGTAGGACAAGTCACRGCCTCACTGTTCACAAGACACTTTTCAACACCACATTCCTACTTTCTGATACAAGACCAATCCTAAAGAGTGTTAACCAACCAGCACAGAACACTGCTGGCATCCTAATACTATCCCAACACACCTCTATTAACTACTTCTAGTTACTGTTTCATTTACACTTATATAGCATTCTTATTTAAGCAACTTGCATTGTCATGCATTTTCTTCCAGAACAATCTCTTGCACATGGAAGCCAAAAAACTCCTATGAAAAACACAACAGTCTGAATTCCAGTTCTTGTGATGCCTTGAAAATTCATTTCAAGTCTGAAAATGTTAACTAGGACAATGACATCCAGCTACATTTTAATGCAGTCATTTTTCGCATTGAAAGCGAACTGACAGTGTAATGAATTGACCTAAGTCCTGCAAAAATTAGTTCCATTTCTTTCACTGCATTCACTGTATGCTATATATGCATCTTGAAATCAAAGATAAATTGACTTTTTTACTGTCACACTATCTGTAGATTTAAGAATCTGTATTAACCTGAACTATTAAATTACAAAATTTCAGAGAATTGTTTACTGCAAAGCAGCTTCAACACCAGAATTTTGCAGTGATTATGCACAAGCAACATCAAGAAGTCAAACACTGCATGTTACCTAGTGTTTCTAAAAGAATTCCACTGGTACTCAATTCAATACACAATGCTAACTGCCAAGGCAACAGGGTAAAACTTCCATCAGCTCCAAGTTAAGGGAAAAACATGTTTCTGCAATTCAGCAATACTACATTGTTCTGAACCGTTCCTTGTACTCTAGGCAGCTGGTCACATTTGTTATGGCAGTGTGGGCYCTGAAATGCAAAGACCTCAGCTCTTTTCACTGCTCTTCATTTTTCCAACTCTTTTGAGAATGCTACAGGGCTAATTCCTGAATTTCAGGCCAATAGAACACCCTGGAATATGTGTTACTCCGCACATGTCTTATCTTCCATAACTCCTTATGCCCACCACTGTAAATCGACAGTTGTTCACAATGCTTTTGGTTCTCCTGTACATATATTGGCTTTGTTTGTGTTCACTGTACAAATATAGTAGATGTGAATAGCAGAGCGATGAAGGTCTTCTGAATTCAATGGAAAGTATGAAATTAACAGGAAAACAACTGTTACTTTGGAACTAACAAATCTAACTAATTTAATCCAGTTTTCATTTTTAATCCTTCAAAAATAGTATTAATCAATGCTAGGCAAGAAACCTTACACTTAGTTACTGAATCAGCAACTCCTGGTCTCTCTTACCATCTCAACTAGATTCTGAAGCATTATYTTTATTGGTTCTATATCACAGCTGTGATTATCTTCTGAAATATTATTCTGAATGTTTCACACAATATCTGTACAATTAAATMTTTTGTTAATCACCAGTTCTCAGCAAATATCTCCAGCTGGTTGTTAACAATTAAAAGGAAACACCTTCCTTTATAGGCTAGTAATATTTATTGGTACAAGAAGCAAATCAAACAGTAGAGGTACCAGGTATAGTCTATCAAAATTAAGATCTTACCTGGAAGACCAGATCCCAGATTGGCCAGATCAGCAAAAGGATCGAAGTTCTGAGATTTCACCTGGCTGAAAGACAGACCTGAAGACATACTGGACTGGCTGACAGTGGTAAAAGCTTGGCCTGTATAATAAACAGACACATCACATAYCTGGTCTATTTGGAAATTGAAAGACAGAATAAAAATAAGACCTCTACTTCATGCAAACCTCCCTAGCATTCTGCTTCACAACATCTTTTACCATGACAAGAATCACCATTACTACAGAGAATTGAAACCATTCAATTCCTTGTACCTAAATCTGAAAAACTACACAAGTGCCTTACTAAAGCATTTAGGCAACAAAGCAAAAATGCATAAAGACATGTTCAGCAGTTTCAGGTGATTAAACTGACAAAGTCTGGAGTATTCCTCAGACAAAAAAATTTAATTTCATTATACCTTCAGAAATAGGCTTCAGCTGTGGTGACGCCACACTGCTGGCTGTTGAGGAATCTGCCCAAGAATCCCATCCACTTAAGAGATCTGGATGGCTWGTAGAAGATGATATTTTAGGTGGCTCTGGAGTTAGGCCGCCTACAGCAGAACAAAGAAACGTTTTTATGCTTTAGAAAACCATCRTAATAACATATATTTTGCTAATACCAACAGAACACGCACCACATTGTCAGCCACAYAGCTTACTTACATTTCTTGGTAACACTAGTGCAGTCTTGAACAGGACTCAGAAGGGTTTTACCACTGGAATTCCTCCACTTCTATTTTAAGACAACCCATACACTTCCTAGATAAGTTATTTTCAGGCACAGGCAATGCTATGAATTTAACAGCTTAGGCCCCCTGACCAAAASGACCAGCTCAGGTATGGATCTAGGGCATGCCCTCACAACATAGCAGGTAGGCAGAAAGCAGCAGTGCTCCATGAATGATGCTCTTTATCACTCAGCAGYCTGGGTTCTACACGGGTGAAGCCAGGTCAAACTGAAAGTTTGCCTAAACCAGGGCTCTTGTGACAAACGGGTCTCTTGGCCAACTAATACACCCCTTTAGCTGTAACACACAAACTGAGGAGCAGTACACGGGAAGAGTCATTTTTTCTTGGAAAAGGTTAAGAAATTCTAGCTCCATGGATAAAAGCCACTTTTCTATATGAAAAACAAAATCATCATGCCATCTATATGAATAAGTCATATTTAAAAGCATACAAGGGTGCTTCCACTAACTGATGGAAAATGTCACATCCCACCCAAAGGTATAACTGCCATCCCTGACACTTGCAAATGATTCTGCACTTACTCACACSAACTACGAGGTGAGCCATCCTCAGAATGAGATATTCTATGTATGGAACCCTCAAAGCTGCATGCCAGCTCTGAGCACTCTCCTCTWGCACAGCTTGTGCAGACTCACAGTGCAGCAAGACAGCTTTTGAATGTAACTCCTTCTTTAATGCTATGACAAGTCAGTGCTACAGAGAGAGGTGGTCTTTCAGTAAAACCAATACATTTAGTGGTGCTCTAAGACATTTCATAAACATAGGGTTTAGAAAGTTAACCAGCTGTTTTTACAAAAGCAGTGACATTTTGACGCTTTCAGTGTTTCGASTACTAAACCTCAGCCTTTCATTTCTCTCAGCTTCTCAACATTCTGAATATTGACATCAAATCCTCTTAATTGAGGAAATAATTAGAAGCAAATTAAAAACCCCTCTAGTATCTCAGTCTAGTAATACTATTTATAATTAGATCTTAGCGCTGCAGTGAAGCACATCAAATACTGTGCAACAAATATCTGCTGAATGCCTGTATTCCAGCAGTATTCGTCACAGCATGTGAAGGAAAACATCAGAATAAAATGTAGGAAGTATGCACAATTTCCAGCCCTTGCTCCAGACTTAAGCTTCATCTTTCTGCCTCTGAAGCCATGGGAGAACAGCATATACCTGCCTCAATACTCAGGATTCCAGCTGTCTGCTACACAGCAGTGTCACTGGCTATAAACCAGCACCTATTCRTCAGTTTATAACTTCACTCTATCACATACCACTCCCAAAAGTTAATCAGGAATTGAATTCATATTAATTTTAGTATTAATACTGATTTTTTGACTAGAAATTATTTTGTCCTACAATCTGCTATTAAAATTCTTTTTACAGGGGCATAAGAAAATTAACAACATAGGAAATTAGCTATTATGAAAATAAGTGGAGAGAAATAAGAAAATTACAGTTGAATACATTTGAAGGATTGAGAAGATACTGTGGGAATCAGCTGTTTTGTAATAGCTGGCTTAAGAGCAGTCAAGTTCAYTGCCTCACCCACCCTTAACTAAGCAGGAAGTAGCCTACTGCTATGTACAGCAGTAAATTCACTATTAAAAGCTCATACACATCCACTACACATAGCAGAAAAATCTGAAATAACGCAATGTACAATACACCAAACAGATAACCTATTCCTCCTAAAACTATTTATTCTTATGTCATCTGCTTTTTAGCTCTACAACCTGGGCATTATGTGAGATTTTAACATCAAGAAATAGTGTTATCAACACAATACTGTGACTTCTACATATTTTGAAGAGGTATGATGAAACTACATACCAAATACCTACTTTTGTAACTGACACATTGGAATTCATGCAGACACATTAAGACACAGGGGCAGAATACAACAACAAATGGTAAAACATAGCTCAATATTCCAAAAATGGAAGCAATTAACATAACGGGCATGCAGATCCATAAATAGCTGTCTCTTTAAGTTTTTTAATACACACATTGATAAACCTTAGACATACAGCAGTAAACCATAGGAGACCAGGGCAAAAAATTCTGTTCTTTACTAACACTGCTCAAATCAAGCTAAGATGCAAGAAAAAAATGATGGTAATCAGATCACACTTTCCAGTTTCCCAGAATAAGAGAACTGCATTTTACTATATTCTATACACAATAAGGTTTTCTTTATTTAACTTGTCATGTCCACAGGAAATCCTTTAATCACACACGACAACAGGATTTTCTTTGAACCAAGAGGCTGGTTTAGTATGATGCAAGGTTCTTTTAACCTTGCCTAAAGCCTGCCTGAGAATACAAATTCACAGAAACTAATTTCTACTCAGGACAAAACTAATTTGATCACCCAGGTTTTCTTTGATCACCTTCTAAATCTCTTTCCTGCTGTCTTTTCAGGAAATACATTTCTGACTCAGCCTGCATTAAAGATAATCTGCTACTTGAAAAATCCAAAAGAAAATTAAGTTACCTTGTTAATACACAGCTGTTTAGCAGCAACAGTACATTTTCCTATTGCAGGACAGAATGTGTTAAGAGACCAGATATTACATAAGAACAGTCATTTAAAAACTCGTATGATTTTGAATTTCAAGCCAACATTTGAGAAATACAAGTTTAAAATTCTAAGTCTTGAACTTGTGTTCACTGGAACAACTTTACTCCTGGTATCTATAGCAGTTTAGTAATCATTTATTATTAACTACAAACAACGCTTATCCATCACTAGAATTTGACTCTAGATGCTTATTACTGTTCCAACAGTAGATTCATCAAATCTCACTACTGCAACTCATTTTGAATAGTCACTGACATTACTACTAATTTATTTTTAGTTTAAATTTCTTTTCCTCACTTTTCCTCATGACTTCATGTTTGCACCTTCTTCTGCTCACTTGACACAATTTTCCAAATATGTCATTTGAGAATTATTCATCCTTTCTTCTCCGGGTCCCAGTGATCCTATTTCTTCAGGACTCACAAATTCACATTAAAAGCAATRTAAGTATTAATACTCCTAGTTTTCTTGATAAAATTGATACCTGTAACTGGATATAATGCTAAAGACTCAAATACATACACAGCTAAATACAGATTAAAAGCTCTAATTTGAAAGACAAATGTAAAGGAGCATGAAATGTTACCCCAGTTACTCCTCTTCCATACAGTTTTTAAAGACTATTGTATGCTACTGCATAGCAATGGAGAAATACTATGAAATCACTGTTAAACAACAGGCTGAAGAGAAAATGGGTACATTTCAAGTAACTTTTCCTATGTGGGCAGAAAGCTCCAGAAATTGCGTTAAAATAGAAGGTATCCCAATGCTCTTGCCAAGGTGCAAGCTATCAAGCAAAATCAGAAGGAGGAAGCATAAATAATAATAATAATAAAAATTATAACCTATTAAGCATAACAAGCATTGAAGTCAGATGGAAGAACATTCCTTTTTATTCTTGTTCAAATGTTCCTAACAGCTGAACATTGATGGCGATCTCCTTAAGGTTGTAGTTAAACGTTTAGTGAAGAGAAATACATGTTTTTTATTTTTCCAACTTAAATTTAATACATAAAAGTGTTTTCTATCTCATCTCTGATATGAGGATTCTTTAACTTGGAGAAAAGAACTGGAAACCATCTTAAAAATGTGTAAAAATACTTAATGTTAAGAGACTGAAAAAAAGACTGAGACATACTTTTCTATGTTGCCTAGTGGAAGGACAARARGAAATGGGCACAAAGTGAATAACACAGGCAACTCCATTAAAAAAATACTTTTTTAACTCTCCAACACTGGCACAGGTTGCCCAGCTGTAAAGTCTGTATCTCTGTAAATAGTAAAAACCAGCAAGGATGTGTCCTGAACAGCCTGCTTTACTTGACCCTTTGACATGCTTTCAGCACATCAGCTGGAATATCTCCAGAGGTCCGTGCCTCAAGTTAGATTCTAGCTGAGATAACAAAATATGCTGAGTTGCAAGGGAGCTACAAGGATTATGGAGTCTGGCTCCTGGCTTTGCACAGAAYAGCTCCAARAATCATACCATATGCCTGAGTGTTTTCCAAATGCTTCTGGAAGTCTCATCAGGCTGGAGCTCCAACCACTTCCCACTGTTCCAGTGCCCAACCGGACTCTAGGAGAGGAACCTTTCCTGATATCCAACCTAAACATASCCTTAACTGCTTCAGACCATTACGTTAGGTCATGTCACTGGTCACCACAGAGAAAAGATCAGTGCCTGCTCCTCCTCCTCACAAGGATGCTGCAAACTGCCATGAGGCTTCCCCTCAGTCTCATTCAGGCTGAACAGAGATCAAGAGACCTCAGCCACCCCTCATATGGCTTCTCCTCAAGGCTCTTCATCATCGTCATGGCCCTTCTTTAGATACTTTCTAACAGCTCAATGTCTTTTTTGTATTGTGGCACTCCAAAACTGTCCCCAGCACTTGAGGTGAAGTCACCCCAGTGTAGAGCAGAGCAGGACAATCCCCTCCCTTGCCCGGCTGGCAAAGCTGTGCCTGATATCCTCCAAGACATGCTTGGCTCTCATGGCTGCCAGGGCACTGCTGGCTCAAATTCAACTTGCCATTGACCAAGACTCCCAGGTATCTTYCCGTGAAGGCTGCTCTCCAGCCTCTTGTCTGCCTATACATCCAGCGTTGCCCCATCCCAGGTGCAGAATCTGGTGGAGATAATGCTCCACAGATCAGATGATTTGATCAGATTGATCAAATCTATTGTGCAAAAAATTTATCATGCTTGGTAACCTCATGGCAGTGATGGCAATAGTGGCATAAAACTAGCAGCCCTACAAGTATACAACTGAAACTTASAGCTGTTACTATCTACAGGACAGAGCAAAAATACGGCAACAGAGGCAGTTAAGTGGAATCTTCTCAGCAGAATTAACCACAGCTGGAATATAATGATTAACCATATGGTAGAAAGGGCAATCATGGGTAGCCTTTTATTTCAGAGAGGAAGACCTCCTCTAATCAGACAGCCACAGATAAACTGCAGAGAAAAGAATACACTAACACCCAGGCTGCATCACTCAGAGGCAGAGTCAACTAGAGAAAGGATGTAAACAAGGAGGGGGAAGACAAAGCTGCCTGCAATAAGCTCTGGGAAGAAATCACTCTGGGTTCAGGATAAGGTGCATGACACCACCAATCCTAGCTACCTGCATATTGTAAGGAGTCTGTCTGAGGAGAGGCCTGGGCTTCTGTGTTGGACAGAGCCAGCTCCAACAGATTCACCACAAGCTACGGCTAAGCCTTCCAAACTAGATGGTGGCCTCTTTGSGAAAAAAGAGAAGGCAAAAAATGCTGCACAGCAGCTGTAAGAAAAGGGAGAGAAGCATRACAGAAACAGCCCTGCAGACATCAAGGTCAGTGGAGAAGGAATGTGAGGAGGTGCTCCAGATAGCACAGATTCCCTGGCAACACATGGGAAAGACCACAGTAGAACCAATATTCTCACTGCAGTCCTGTGGAGGACCCTACATAGGGGTGTGGATCAAGCCACAGCCCAGGGAGAGCAGCAGGTTCCTGGCAGGAGCTGCAGCACTAGGGAGAATCATGTCCATGCAGCAATCTCTTCCTAAAGGACAGCACCCTACAGAGACCCATGTTCTTAAAGGACTCTATCTTGTGGGTAGAATCTATGCAGAAAGCAGGGAACAAGAGAGCAGCAGAGAGGAACTTTATGACTGACCACAGTTCATATTCCTGGGAAAGAATCCACACTTAGTGTGGGGAATGTTGTTGAGGAATGGCTGCTGAGTAAAGGAGGACATGATGAGATTCAGCTAGTTGAGCTAGAATTAAGTTAGAGGGGACTTCAAGGACTGTGTCTTTGGAGCCTGCTGTTACACAATAGCAAGAGGCAAATGAGGATGTAAGAAGGATAAAATTATCAAGGGAAAGAGGAACTGTAACCGCAAGTGGGCACATAGGGGTGGGATTGACCAGTAYTGCATTGTCCAATGATGAGCTATGCTTTTGCAATATGTATGAGCTTATTATCTTGATTATAAAAATGCGGAGKWCTCGAAATAAAATGGAGACTTGCYGATCATCATYGGATGTGCTTGTCTTCCTTCAGCTCTTCCAACACCTTTCCTTTCAAAGTCAGATTTTAAAAAAAGCTCTAACAGTCATAACTCTACCATTCCACCATTTTTACAAATGCCTATTTCTCTTTAAACAATGATGGAAGACTGAACATATCACAAAGTTTTTCATCTAAAGATCAATAGATTTTAAAATAAATGCATGAGGAAAAGGCTTCGCCAAGAATATATCAGAGAAATGAAACAAATAAGATTAGAGGATTACATAACATACTTTCTAAGTATATTACCAGAATGCMTTCAGGTCAAGAAGGTGCAAGCTAGCCTCAGTTTGCACTTTAAGAACAGGSTATATTATAACTTGACTTGCTCATTTCTCTTCCAAGTTTCCAGAATATCTTTAAATATGAATGCAGTCAACATAGCATACTATCATTTATAAAGTAAGTYTGAAGATGTTTGTGTATCCTCAGTTATAATATCATTGAGAGGAAACACCATCACCTAATATATGGTCACCAATACTAGAAATTTTCTCATATAATACATAATAACATGACATTATACAGGAAACACTTGCTTCTTGGTGCATTTGCATCTGCATTTACAGAATACAGAGCTAATTAAAACAGTAAACACAACAAGAGGATATATTAAGACACTAATCCACCTTGACTAAACTGAAAGACAAACACACAGAGGAGAAGAAACTGTTGAGAAACAGATATCAGAAGCACACTCACCTAAATTTAAGAAATCTGAGCTGGAAGAAGGTGGAAGTGAACTTTGTGTGGAAGGAACTGTATTAGCTGTAGATGTTGAAGTTGGACTAAGGAAGTCCCCAAAGAGATCTGGACCAGACAGGGCTTGATTCTCCGAACTTGACATTGTGAATGGGTCAAATGGATCGGCTAAAAAAGAAACAGAAAACAACATTATCTTACAACAAATTGTAGAACAAATGAGGCTGAAAAAGCCTTACTCTAGAGGTACAGACAAAAAGCAAAGTTCATGTTAGTAATTCCAACAGTCTTCTGCAAWTTTTTTTGTGGCAGAGTATCCACTCACCTTCCTCTAGACTAACAAACTTTTACATTGGTACAAAAAGGTTCTGAGCTGTAGATAAAATGAACAAGCCACAGTCTTCAAATGCAAATCCCTAGCAAGACTGCATACAATTCAATAACAATGTTAATTTCATTCATTTAAGACATACCTTAAATTTGAGTGACCATCTGCATACACRCAGAAGAATTACATTTGTTAAATATTCTATAATTCCAAAATTACAACAAATTTGATAAAAATGGACTATTACTCTACTAAAAGGAATATCAAGTGAAACATTCATACTACCATTTAGACTTGAAGGCATTGGCGATTCTGGGGCAGAAAGCACGTAAACTCAAGAATGAAAAGCAATAGAAGTGAGACTTCAGCAGGTCTCTGGTGATCCCAGTGAAGAAAAAACTAACTGGAAGAGTATTTATAGTCAGCATGGAGTAACATGTGACAGTCAGCTGGAMTCACAGCCCTAGATCTTTCTGTTTCTGCTGCCCTCTAGGGTCAAAAACCCTCAAGAGTCCAGGSAGTCCTGCCAGATTCATTCAGAAGTTGAAGAGAAGGAATAATCCTGCTATAATACCCCTGCACATCCTCAGGTAATGACCACATTGTACTCAGTAACATTCCAAGCAAACTAACTGTAGCATCACACACAGAACCTCAAATATAAGCCTGTCGTGCAAGACAAAATATAACAGTGGCCAAATATTCTCACTCCTGTAATTATCTTTCTCTTAATACAACTCAATGAAATACATTGAATAAGAATGAGGTACACAACTACTACTCAGAAGTTTCATGCAGAAGACATGGTTAAAAAAAAAAWAAGTAATAAAGGTCCCCTTTCTTAGAATTCTAGATTCTTCACTGACCACAGTAACAAAGTTCAGTGAGTTGTCTTCAAAAAGGCACGTATTTTAAATCATCTAAATGTCCCATTAAAAATACTTTTCAGTTGTCTGTAGGTGAAAGCTTTTAGTCCCTATGAATTATTTTTGCACAGACAAAACTTTATAATAGTTTCCAGGTYATGCAACTAATATTCTCAGAAATCTTACCATTAACTTCAGACTGAGAATCGTTATTGTCACATAACTAAATTTTTGGGAAAGAGCTCAGTACCCAATGCTCAGAGGAACAGAACCTCTAAACTAAGACACCTTGTTAAAATACCAAATAGCACTACGCAGCATTCTCTTTAAGGGTATTGACCTGTCAAAAACATCAGTAAAACCAGCAAGAAAACATCTTTTAACAGTGTCATTATCCTAGTGGTTTGAACAATAATCTACAGGATTTACAGTTGCTCAGAAGTCTTATGTGATTAACACTTAAAAATCCCACGCAGACATTTGACCTCAGCAGCACAGCTCAGTACATATAATGCCACTGCTTTACGTAAAGTTAAAGAAAGCAGTAAATTATGACAATTCTATGCCTTAGCAAGAAAAGTTATGGATACAGAGAAAGATCTAGCATGTAACATTCACATGGGCAACATAAGAGTTCTTCAAGTTACTGAATTACCTTTAAATTCAAAATTTGATACTTTTCTGTTAACAAAGTTTAAAGTTAATAGGATCTGGCAACAAAACACAATGCCAGGATAACTTACCGGACTTTGTTTCCTACATGCAGAAGTAATACCTATTGTATCCAYAGTCTTGCTACAGACTGATGCCTTCAACACACTGTTGAAATACAGCATTCATTTTCTAAGCAAAATAAAAGCAGTAGGTTTTATGAKTTGCCCAGGTGATGAGTGTTGATGTTTAACTCACATACCTGAAGACATGACTGCTGCCGAAGACGTACCCTGAGTAGCAGCTGGACACTGACTGCTGAAAAATAAATCAGTTCCTTGTCCCAGAAGATCTCCAGCAGGCTCATCTGAAACCTGTGACACACTACTCAYGAACAGATTGTTCAACAAGTCTGCATTACTTGGTGAAGAATTTATTTCTGAGATAGGTTGTTTCTTTTCTGCTGAAATATCAGAGTCTAGTCCCAGCAAGTCTACATTCTCTTCAGGGACAGATTTTTGTAACGGTGCAGATGGAGCTTCAAAACTGGCTTCAAAAAGCAACTCTCCTTCTGGAGTAGAGTCTTTTTCATCAACAATTACCGCACTTCCTTCATCTGGAAATGTAGGAAACTCTTCATCTGACGGATCACTCTCTTCCCTGTCATCAGATAGCTGAATACGATCATTTTTAGATGAACTGTCCTCTATTCCACTTTCTGGAGTTTTTCCTTCTTTGAGAGAAAAAAAAAAAATCAAAACTCACATAAGAACCAATGAAAAAGGAACTAAGTTGCCTGCCAGCTCTGTACAGGGCAGACAAAGCAGCAGCTGACTACCACATTTGCCACCCCACAATGGTAGGCATTAGGAACTTTTTCAAAATGAGACTGACTTGGCCATTAACCTCAGATTATTGTGCCACTTAGAGCTTATAAGATTTCTCAGTAACTGCTGCTCCACTCAATGAAAACATAAACAGCTGCTGACATTTTTGCCAACAAAGCAGCGCCCGGAAAGGGAGTTACACATGTGCTATAAAATTACATTTTCTTAGTCCTACTTACTGATCTGGACCCCACTGGCTAGTCTACTTTGTTTCCTCTGTTCCTCAGCCAAAGTGGGGCTGTGGGAGTGCAAAGCTTCCTTGCAGACCTTTAAGGTTAAGATTTTTACAGAAAAAGAAAAATTTAGCTCAGCATTTAAKTTATACTCAACACCAAACCCCCTTACTTGGTGTTTATCCAAAAGAAGCAGAATAACGTCTTGTTATTCTGAAGATCTCACTCTTTAAATAGCTTTTCCTCATGGTTAGTGAATTAGAGACTTTTGCTGCATAAGAAGGCTTAAGCATTCACTGGAAGRCATACAAGACAAACATAAACCAAGAAGTTATTTCAGAAGAAAATCTGTACCTTTCCAGTCCAGAGAGTGAAAGAAGTTATTTGCATCGGTACTACTGCTGTGTGGGGATTCTGTATCAGTAGGTACACTTTCTGAAGACTGCTCCAGCTGGGATGCCTCTGCTTCATATTGTGCAGTTGAACCTGGCTGTCTAGGCAATTCTGGTTTCCCTGTAAGACAGAATATAAACCAAACTCTTACAGAGAAACCTCTCAATCCCCCACACAGCAGCTGACACTTGCCTTTCAGACTGACTGCTATAGGAAGGCAACTGTCTCCAACTGCAATGAGAGACAGAAAAACAGAAAAAAAAGCAAATGCAGCTGTAGAAAAACCCAGAGTATACAAAGCCAGTGAATAAAATGAAGTGATTATGAAGGGGTTATGTTGCTATTAACAGCTTATTACATTTCTTCTTTTACTGAAATCAGTATTACGTGACTTGTGTAAGGATGAGTGGAGCAAAGTTACATTCTACTGTATCATCTCTCAAAACAAAGTTTTCTTAAGGCAAATTAAGACAACTTCCTAAATTAGTCAGTACTCATCCACTGTTTGAAAAAATRGATGTATGCCTGGGAGAAACCTATTTGTCTAAATTTAAATACACAACTGGTAGAGCAATTTTCACTCTCCTTCCACATTCTCAGTTTTAGCTTAGAGATGCTGAAAAAATAGTCTGTCCCAGACAACATATTATAGAAAGATCATGACTAATGCAAGAGTAAATTCAATTTTAATAGCAAGTTTTAAAAATCATTTCACAGTTGTCCTACTCCCTTMCCACCAATCTTAATACTTTCAGTGTAATCTGAAACCATTACATTTCAAGTAACAATCAGAAAAAGGGAAATGACTTAAGAAAAAATGTAACTTTCACAGATCCTCACCATCAATGAAACACCTTAGCTTTAGAGAGCTGAGAGTTGTGTTCACAGTAGGATTAAGCTAACTTAAATAGAAAATGGCCTAASTGAGAATACAAACAACACTCACAAGGAAAAGAGGCCAGCAGCAACCATCTTACATYGAAAGAAATGTACTTGAGATGTATGTGTATTAATAGCATAGGGTGAGATCTCATGTATCACTAAAATCACCATAGTAATCTTCATTACGCTTCTTATCCTCAAAACACAGAGAAGGTTTAAGAGCCTGAATGAAAATGTCAAAGCTAATTACTGACACCAGGAGAAGAAGAAAGATACTGAATAGCATTAACTGGAATTAATGAAGGCATCTACAGATGAAGCACTGAATATGTAGGATTAAACAAAAAAAATCTGCTGGAAAGTCATCCTAGGAAAAGGTTGAGGATATTAATTACAGCATTGCATGGATATGCATAATAATGTTGATAAAAACACTCTTCCCTAAAACTATTTGTAAGGAATKCTCACATAATTTTAAGTGAAATGATACTGGTGCCAGTTTAGCCAAATCAGGACACTGCCTACAAATACTGGCTGTTACAATTCCAATTGCTGAAAGTCCCTCCCTGTAAATAGCATATTCCTAGCTTTAACGCAAGCACATATAAGTACAATGAAAAGTAAGACAAGGATAATTATAATGAATTACTGGGGGATAACTTAATATACTCCTACATAGAATGAATATTTTTAACTGGTACTTACAAAAAAACACCTTTTTACATTTCTTTAAATTAATGGAATATCAAAAATAAAACAGAAGCCTCAAACACTAAGGACATTGAAAACTTTTTCACATTCTCTAGTCTACATTCTCAACTTTTTCAAGGGATTCCTTACCAAATTTTGATAAAATCTCTTGTTGTTCCTCTCGAGTGGAAAAGAGGATCTTGGGATTCAGCCCCTTTATATTCATGTTATCCCAAGGTGGCTGTTCACAGCTGGGCCTATCTCTGGGCTCCACCTCTACTTCCAGATTGACTTGAAATAAATCAGGGTACTTTTCTTGAATGTCACAGGCATCCAGATCATACCTGTAAAGACAGAGAGAAGTMGATTCTTGATACTGATGGCTAACTGGATTAGACCTACTGCTGTCCAAAACAAAACTTCAAAGCAACTAGTATAAGACACAAAAAAAGCTGTATGTGTTTAATTTTCCCATTTTAAACAGGTGGTATTGTTATACCTAGCTTTTCTGGTATCATGAACAAAACATTTTGTTTCCCTAAGGTGAGTCAATAAAACACTCATATTGCAATCAAAGGCATCTGCTTCCTACACACACTGTATTTCCTCCCCCTGGCAGGTTAAGCAGTTTCAAAGAAAACTTCTTCCAGTCTGGTACAAAGAGGTGTCAACATACTTCGCAAATTTCACTGTAGTGGCATTTCGGGGCACAAAACCTGTATGGAACTGAATCTGAAACATCTTCATTGAAGCCATCTGTTAAAAACAAGAAATTCAGGAAACTGCATAAATCCACATGAACAGTGTGCACAGTGTTGTGACTTTCACATAATGCAAAGTACTATCAGCATTAAAATATTTTAAAGCATTTGCTTTGCTACAATTTCCATTTATTTGCAAGTATACTCTATCTTGAAAGATTTAAATGCAGACAGAACATAAATAGATCTATTACTGACACTAAAAAAACAAAAGACCTTGAGTCAGGTGTTTCATCACCAACAAACAAACAAAAACTATCAGAATCTTACTAAACTGCACAGCTATAATTTCTCTTCTAAATAACATACAGTCAGAAAAATAAATTGTGCAATGGACTAGCCAAGAAATATACATCACATATAAAGGAGTCCATTTAAAACAGTTTTAAAAGTAATACATTTAAAAGGACACTTCAGAAGGCATGCAAAGACGGTGCTTTTTTGTGCAACTTCAAGTCAGCCATCCATTCCAGACAGAATTTTAGGGCTTTTCTGAACTGACTATTTTAATCATTCAACTGCTGATAGAAAAACTACTTTCCCATTCCTGATGGGAAYACGAAAGTCCAGAGAATGCTACTAAAGAAGATGCATGAAGCTCCTGCTCTTGCACAAATCCAAATGACAGCTCACTGATAAAGGTAGCCTGTATTTGTTTCCTAGCCTTAGTTACAGTATCGGTGAAAAAGTCTTGCCAGTGCTTATGAAGTCATACAGAAATACGAAAAAAATACAATAAAATGAAACTGAATTATGAAATCTTTCCTTGTAAATGAGCATTTACTGAACATCATAGCCAGAAATCAAGTAATACAAAAAGTTTTGCCACAGGTGATCCTTCCCCTGTATTGGGCACCAGTGAAGCCCCACCTGTAATTTTGTGTCCAGTGCTGGGCTCCTTAGGACAAGAAATATGGTCATACTGGAGAGAGTTTCCCTGATTCTTCCATCCCTCCCATTCCTTTCCTAGAAGATAAACTAAACCCGCTCTCAAATTAGCTGTGAGCGGAAGACATTCACAATGCCCAGCTCTAAACAGAGAACCGTTTCAAGGAGAAATCTTGAAACGTGGTAGATGATCTATGTAAAATTTCTGCAGTGAACTTCAGGGGGCAATTAACAGCACATACTAAGGGCACATTGAATATCTTTCCATCAAACCTCCTAACCCAGAACACCACAAACACTGTTGATGCATCACATTTTAGCTGACAAATGAAAAAATTCTAGTCTTTTCTGATCAGTGAATAAATGGCAGAGCAGCCACAACAAARAAACTCTATCATGAAAAAAAGTGATATTGTACAAGGAGTATAACCTAAGCTTGGTTAAATTTTGTCAGTTTTATGCCTTTTTCCAGAGGACATTGAACCATACAGTAGTTATTTTTTGTGCATTAAGGGATCACTCCATTGAGTTTTTCGTTTTAAGGTGTTCTGGAAGGTCTTGTTGAACCTTACAAAGTGACAAGATTTGATGCTCACCCTCCTACTCACAAAGTAAAAAAGAACATRAGGGAAAGCAATTTCAGTAACAGTAACGATGTATGAACACACATGTATGTCCCACATGTACAGAAACTGGTTGAAGAACTGTCTGGATCAATTTCCACAAAGCTTCAAGTTATTCTGTACTTTGCACTAYCCCTCCTTATGTTTTACATGGATTTCCAAGTTTAATTTGGATTTATTATCTGGAGAAAAAAGAACATGGCTCTCTTTAAAAAAATTTGAAGACAGGCTTCATTAACAAGTTTTAGTGATCTTGCAATGCATTTGCATCCGCAGGTGAATTAAAAAAGGAAATATGCCTTCTCCTTAGTTGAACAAAGACAAGTAAAAAAATGAGCTACAAAAACTGAACCTGACTTTAGAAAAAGGGAATAAAACTACATGGATTTTTTCTAGTTTGTTTTGTACAGGCAGTCTCTGGAATCCCACTTTTCTGTTGAGTGGTATTTTTCCTTTGTTTCCAGTTTATCTATACAGAATTAACAAAGTCTGGCTTGTGCAATTTAACAGATAATAACTGCTGCCTCAAAAAAACTGGCTAGGAGCTTTCCTCACAAATAAGATAATTACCAACACTGAAGTATTTYCCAGAAACGCTTTCCAAAGCATCTACATGTACAACGTTAGAAGTGGACATACTCAGAAGGCTTGAAAAAGTGGAATTCATAAGTGAACGAAAACCTCAAACACTTGTCTGAACAAAGAACAGTAAATAAAGCACAGTACTTAGCAGATAACCAGTACGATATAGAACTGTAACAAAAAAAAAAAAAAAAAACAAATCCTCCATTTAGGCTCTTAAATTTATCATTACCTTGGCTTGCAGTCGTCCTCCTAGAGTTGATCTGGCATGATAGATCACAATGAGAACATCTCCTTGGACTGTTATACCCAGTGGAATTACTGCTTTCCCATCTTCAATTTTAAACTCCCTAAAGAAAAAAAAAAATAACCACACTTAATTTAGTTTAAAAAGAGATAAAACAGTGTATTTCTTTGATTTAGTCTGCTTTCTCCAGGGYCTTTAGAAGCTAGAAAGCTAGAAGGACTTCAGTATTCTCTCATTTTTCYTGTCTGTGATCATCCACACCTTGTACCATTTGCAATTCTTGTGCAGACACAAGAGCTGTACAGGGGCTAATAAGCAGTCACTTTGCAGCTGCTGTGCCTGGGGGATCACTACCGTTTCCATGACTGAGACACGATGCTCTGCTCAGCACAAGTACATCAGATATCAATGTTCCCAGTCCTGCATCACATGAAGTGAGAAGAGGGCCTTGCTCACTGCTGCACAGTGTCCCCACTGCTACCCCATCATCATCCCCACTGTTCTGCAAGATCAGATTCAAGCTGCTGTAACAACCACATTCTCTTCCCCCATGATTCACCTTTCAAGATCAGCCAAAAGGGGACAGAGAAATCTAGGAAAAAAAGTAACCACTAGAATCTAGAAAAACGTAACTTGCTGTTTCAGAGCAAGTCATACTCCGTACTTACTTCATTTTGTCATATTCCTGAGAAGTGGTGGTTACTCTTTCATCTCCCACATAAACCTCACAAAAAGGCCTGCAGCCATTACGCTGCTTACTGAAAAGCGGAACGGGAGTCATGACAATTGATCTGACCAGGATGGGCTTGCTGTGAGGAATAATGGGTTCTTCAGCCATCATGTCACACATGTATTCAATGTATCTGCCAAAATCAGAACATACTCATTTAGTCAGACAACAGAATTCTGAGAAATGGGTAAAYAAATAAACAAGTTACTTCTGTTCTTTTTCCGTCACTAAGCATTGATGAGTGTTAGCAGTAAAACACTGGRAACACTTAATGCCACCTCCAGCAAATAGATTTTCAAATCTGACAGAATGACAAAAGGGTCTGTAGCCTTACATATATTGACTTATAAAATAAACTAGCCCCTAGTTCAAAAGGCCCTAAAACACTAAACTAGAACTATTTATTTYGTATCTTACACATAATGATAATCAATCAAATATTCCTAAAGGCTTTAAATTTGTCCTGAATAATATATATAATTTTACGGAGAACCCTTAAGTATACTCAAAGTAAATGTGTACAAAAACAATCTGTCACACTAACTAGTACTTCACTTCTCACCCCTCAAAATCTAATCCTTTTTGTATATATACCCTTACTACCAGTGTCACTTGCTATTCAGACTTGATTTAATTTGATAGATCTTATGACCATAATCAGTTTAAAACTTTTGTCAAAGTATAAGCAAGCCACCTCTGCACACACTTCTTCAAAAAGCACTAGGTGTTTTTTTCTCAATTGACAAAAATGATTTCTTGTATTCCCACAGAAMATGGAGTGTTTTGACACAATAAAACCCACTATAATAAACTAGGAAACATGAAATAWGTCTTACAATGTGGAAGAGGAATTTATAATAAAGAAAGCATTCAAAAACTCTGCATACCCTTGTTTTCATTCTTAACACTTGCTCACTACAGATCATACTTCACCCAGTTCTGATGGGTACTTATAGGCTCAGAAAATTCAGAACTACTTTCTATTCATGATGCAGCAAGACACTTGGAAAAACAGATGGTTGAACACAGAYGTATTGAAATAATTTAACTTTCTTAGATCATCCAGTTACAATCACATCCTAATACAATACTCAGAACTGAATAGCTACTTGCTACTACAGTACCTTACAGTACCTTTTATGAGAAGGCCAAATGCCAGGTGGACAGCGTTTCATACTGAACATATAAACAGCAGCTTCAGCAGTAGTGAAGAGACGGCAGAAACACAGAAAAGAACAAACTACAACAGCAGATGCTGCTCTTCCATCCTAGTAAACAATTAAAAAGTAGCTTTGTTAGTAAACCTAGTAGAAAAAACATTATCCAAGTTACTAAAGAGCATCCTATTATGTATCCTATATCCTATCATTATTTAAGGTCATGATGTTCAAGGTTTAGTGCCATTATTTGAAGTTTGTATTTGAAAGAGAAAGGTCTTCTTTTAATTTCCACACAATACAAAAGATAGCATATATTACCTTCTTGCTCAAATGTGAATAATTAYTGTAACTTAACACTATTTGAAATTGTCAACTGATTTTCTTTACCTTACTGTCACWAATGCCCATTTTCTAGGTTTGTTTCCTGGCTGCTATCTGTAACCCCATATCAGTGCTATTTTTGACTGACAGACATGGACTTCCACTAAAAGAGAAGTACAAAGATTCTGAAGAATTAAACCAGACTAAACTCTCTAGACTTCTGTCTAAAACAATTAACAGCTTGCCAAGAGGATATTAAAACACTGACTCTCTTTCTGTAGAGAGAGTCTTTCCTCTTTCTGTAGGAATCCTAAATACATACATATTCCAGATATATCCCTATATTGTAAAAAGCAGAAGATTCAGAAGAGSTAATGGTTGACAGAACAGGACTTCCCCAGGTTTGTTTGCTAGCAACATGGAACAGAATTTTTATCATTTGCTTCTAGTAATTCTGGTRTACACTTTTCTACACCACATCTGGCACACAGCCACGTTTATGGCTTAAAGTTTCCYTCACATGAGAGGAAAAGGAATGAGTTAGGTACCTAGAACAAAACACTTCAAGGGAAAGATGTAACAAAAACTGGTGCTAATTCATCACATTATCTTCTTGCCTACTTGACCAGTCATCATGTGCAATGAGATACCAGAAGTATCACATTAATATAGAATTTGATGCCTAAACTCATAGCAGCACTGAAATTATACTGGTTTTCAGGAGCTGACATTAAGTGATTTTTATTTGCAAAATGCTGTGTAACTCACAGTATGATTTGTCAGATTAACTCACAGTATGATTTGTCAGATTAAGATATAAAAATCCTCTTTTTTATACTCTGATAGCAATATTCCCTATTGACTGCTATACCAGATCAACAGACAGGTTTTGAATGCTTTCCTGCATAATTGTCACAGAGTCACGTTTCTCTTTTTACTCTGTAGTAAAGTAAGAATATAAAAATTTCACTTGCAATTTTTCTAAACATAAGAATGACCTCATTTTCAAATCTTAAGCAGAGTAACTGCTCTCAAAGTTGATTCCACCCCTCCACCATGTTTGACATGAGGTAGCTCAGAGAATAGCATCAGTTACAGAGCAATCTGCAGCCAGTAAAAGCAAGTAAACCAGAAGTCTCATAGTTAGTCTCAGTTAGTGAGACTTCTGTGGCTACGGATTACGGATTCTAAATGGACAGTAGTGGGATATGCAGGGTACACCCAGGAATCACACAAAATGGAGCAAATGGTGAAGCAATAGAGCAGAATTTTTTTTCTCCCAAAGGCTAGTTTGTCATAATAGCATGTGTGCACTGCCTTCCACTTTAAATGTAAGTAAGCAAGGGCTACATTACCCTATTAATTTCCCTAATGAGAAAATTGATGCAAGTAGTGCCCCTAGAAACACAGCAGGAAGGAATTGGCCCAGGGCTCCCAGTAAAGAAAGATAGTAACAGTCACAAATTGAATGGATACTTGAACACTTATTCACAATTTAAAGCTCTATTGAACAAAGWGCTTCAGACTGAAATTTCTTACAAGGCAATGAACAATGCAAACGTTTTTCTGGTCTTGTTTCAGCCATAAATGCATGTTCTTGCATATGCTATAGAGATTCTGAAGATTTGGCGCTCGTCTCGCTGGCCAGCCACATTCAGAAACCTGCAGTGAGAGATAAGAGAGAGCAGATATGAGAAGCAGTGTTATATAGTCACATATAAATAACTTAGGTTATGCAAATGTTTAAGATGTAATTTTACATTTTAATGGCACCTTCAGGTTGAAATTAAGCAAGATGTTCAAGAAAAGTAGTCTTACACAGTGTAAACTCCACCTTTAGAATGAAGTGCTATAAATAAAACTTCAGTCCTGTCGACAAATCTACTACTAGAAGTATCAACAACTCAGTTACCATCTGAAATATTCTTAAAGCAATGAATAAAGTAAAACAGCCTTCAACTTACTTTTGTGCACATATACTTAAGTAAGAAAACAAAATCAAAAACCAAACAACAAAAAGCCCAATAGCAGAAAGATTAGGCTTCTTTTAATATTTGTCCTTTCTACAAAGAGCTTGAATGGTTCAGTGTGTTTGAACCACAATTAGTGGTTMAAAAAAATCAGCTTCACTGTTAAGAGTCTGTCTCCTTAAAAATCAATGGTTCAGTAAAGATGTAGTATATGAAACTTGATTACTGGGGCACTTGAAACGCCTGAAGAGTAGATGACAAAAAAAAACAAAGACAAAAATCAAGCTTTTTCTATTAATTTTTATTCCCAAATGCAATTGCCAGATGTGGAAGACCAAGTTTTCCTTATCCTCCTATACAGACAAAGAGTTCAGAGGTTACTCAGATTTATTACCTGAACTGATTACCACCAAAAATTATGTTTGTGCCAAGCACAAGAGAAAAGGCTGAAATAAACAGTCTGACAAAGTCTCCTACAACTTTTTGTTGTATTCTAGTATTTTAATTAAAATATAAGGCCATTTCAGAAACCATCACTTTGCGAGAGATTTAAATTGTACCTTCCTCTGTTAGTGAAAGCTTATGTAAAGTCACCAGTAAACAAAGAAAAGCTAAAGCAAAAAGTCCTTTATATTCCCGTTCACTACAGGATGCAATGAGGGCTTCAGTAAATGTCAAACATTACAATAATAGCATGTGCTGGTTTCAGTTGGAGTAATCTTCTCCATAGTATTTAAAAGAGGCTGTGTCTTGTACTTGTCAGGAAAACAGTGCTGATAGCACAGGGATGTTTTTTTCATTGACAARCAGAGCTTACACAGAGTCAAAATCTTTTCTGCCTCTCACATTGCCTCACAAGACAGGAGATTTAGGGTGCACAAAAAGCTAGGAGAAAACACAGCCAGGACAGGTGACCTCAGCTGACCAAAGGAATGTTCCATACCACAGGACATCATGGGTTGAGCATGAAGGTGTGGCAAAAAGAAGGGAAGGGGAAACATTCAGAGCAATGGCATTCTTCTTTACAAGAAATCATTACACATGATGGAGACCTGCATTCCTGGAGATCACTGTATATCTGCCTGCCCATGGGAAAATGTGAATGAATTCCTTGTGTTGCTTTGCCTCTATCTCAACACACAAGTTCTCACATTTATCTTCTGATTCTCTCCCCAGTCCTATCAGGGAGAACTAAGCAAGCAGATGTGTGGGGCTTGGTTGCTGGCTGGAGTTAAATCACAACATTGCAAAAGAATCATATTGAAGCACTGCAGCTTCAGACCAGAGTGCAGCCTAGGAAAACATGTGCATTCAGAAAAGCAAAAAGTACTGAGTTTTTTCCTTTTAATTTACTTAAACACTAGTTTTCTTACAAGACACAACAAAAACATCATCACTTTCTGTTTCTTTTGCTGTTTTAAGCTCAAAGTGCCCTGATAATTAGCAGAATGATGCATAGTGCACAAACTTAGAGAAACCTATTCCAAGCAGAATTTAAAAGACMGAGACGACTTCAAAACTACCATTAATTTTAACCAAGATTAAACAAATAGAAGTTCCATACAGATACCAAAGAGCAGAAAACCAATAACACATGATTTCATAAATATCTTCTAAGCAAAGTGTCAAAATTTAGAATTTTAGAAGCTGTTCTCTGATCAAATTTAAGGCTTGCCATAATCATCTCTTGCAGGTACTCAGGAAAACTAAGCTTCTTTAGGTTCCTGCTCTCAGCCAGCACCGAACAATGAGGTTAGTTAGTATTGCTGGATATCTYGATTTCAATAATAGGCAGGTAAGAGTTCCCAAATACAAGAGTTTGCTTCCAAGTAAAATAGCTGCCTTCCTAMATACTCCTAGACAATAAAAGGGTCRTGAACCRATAACRTTTCCACAAGTTATAACCTAATATGACCTCCCAGAAAAACCAAGATCCTATTACCAATTCTTGGTACCAACATATCAGACATATCAGGTGTATAGACATCTCAAACTTGCATAATCAAAAAAACATTTCCTGCGTAAGTAAATTCCCAGACACGGAATTTCGTTCCATAAACAGACTGATCACTTCGTAGGACAAGGAATAAATCAGTTCACTACATCAGTCTCAACAGGCTTTCCAGCAATCTGGGGCTAAAAAGAATTGCTGAACATTTTGCTTTGAGGAACCTGCTACAAATAATGATGCAGGCAGTTTCCTGCATAATTAAGCTTTTTTGCCTTCCATCTTGAGTAGTCTGTCTGAACCTCATACTGAACCAGACACAGATAAGAAAGATGACTTCATCCAACCAACAATGCAGTAATGATTTCTTTCAGGTGTGACAATGCTTTATCTTGTTTACAAGGAAACAGATGTGATAGCACTAGAAAGAATACATTAAACACAGCTCAGTCTGACATGTTAAGTCAACTGATAAGCRAAGCAATACTAAGGATGGCTCTGCATAATAAGGCCCAAAAGGCCTTATTATTCTGTTACAAATAATGTTTCTAGACTCTCTCCTTGGCAGACACCATTGTGTGGAAGGGGCATAATCACTACAGACTCACAAGGTGAGATCTCTGTGGCCAGTGCTGGACAACTCACAACACAGTAAGTCTCCACTGTTGAGCCTCTTACAGGACAGTAGAGGTTTATTTATGTTAGACTCTGAAGACCAATATCTCAGCACCTAACAAGATGTCCTCAGTACCTTGGTCCTGAAATAGGCAAATGCCTTCCTGTCAGTATCAGAGATATTGCCAGAAAGGGTAATGGAGGCTCAGCTACACTACAACAATACTGAAGATGGTGGCAACAATCAGTCAGCTATGGCTGAGCCATATGGGAGTCAAATGATATGTAGTGGGACAAGGAGAAACTCCAGTGAACAGGTTATGCAAATCAGTCACCATGCCCTTGAGAAAGAAAGATAGTAGAATATAAGAGAGATTGAAATTTTAGTAAGACCTAAATTACTTTAAGTATTCTCCACTTAAATTTGAAACACRTAAGGTACGTGGACCTGTTTTCAAAGATAACATTATCCCAGAAAAACAAATTTTAGTCAGTAAGATTAAAGATTAGTCACTTACCAGTTAGGTTTGAATTTAAAGCAAAGATAAGCAGAAAATAGCTTACTCTTTGAACTTGTGTTTATATCCATTTTTGGTAATCTTTTTTAATAACCTACTTTAACCTAATCTATAATAAAAAGCTGAAGGTAAAATGAAAACATTGTGTTGCAAGGCTTTTTAGAGAAAAACACAAAAACTACACACACCCTGTTATGGAATCTTGAAGGCCTGTATGTTCTTGGCGAGAGATTGTACACAGCATAATGGCCAGGATGTTTAGAGTCAAGACACAACCGCACATCTTCTATGTTATTTTTGATGGCAGATTCTACACCTTCAGCTGGAAAGGACATCACTGAAGATAGAACAAACAGCAGGTGAAATGTTTTATATACTAACAACAATGAGAAATTATGTTTAAGAAAGATACAGTTAACATACCAGCAATTCTGGAAGTGATGTATGATATATCCAAGTCTCCTTTTGCRTAACTGAAACAGAACACATTGGTGTTAATACTGAGAGACATAGCTATTCAACCGTAAGTGTAAAAGCCGGATCTCTCAGATTGCACCCACCACCACAAATACTGTATCATTTCTTCCATCTAAAGCTTTTTACCTCAGATGTCAAGATTTCAGAACAGACACTGTGTTTAAGCAGTTACTCATTYCAATCAGTTGAACCAAAACCATCTGTTGGATTTTGTACGTATGCCTTTAATCTTTAACTCCTAGGCCCTGCTTTTATTGATAAAAATTCACTGCAGAGGGTCAGTTTGAAAGCCTAATGAGGATACATTTACATGTTTAATAGAGGATATCTCAATGCTTAAAAGAAAGACTACTAGTTTAAACATCAAAGTTTAAATTATGCAACTCTGGCRTGTTACTATCTGGCACAGATGGTCATGCTGCCCAATATCCAAATTCCATATGGAAAAAGTGTTAGGAACACTTYCCTGTCTGGCCATTCAGAAAGGACTCTGGCAGTCAACTCCACCAGACTTGTCACCGCCAGGACTGAAGCCCCTTTGCAGCTGGTGAGCCAATGGGAGCCCTGCTTGACAACCTACACTCCCCCMATTCACATGGTCAGACCAGACTTCCTCACCAGTTGGACCCCAGGTTTCCCACAGCAGAGTCTCCTATCTCTGGTTGCTTTAAGTGCTTTAATCCTGGTGCAGCAACAGTAACAGTTGCAGCTGCTGCCTCCCAGGAAGGACTCCTGAATAAAGGAATCMRTGGGCTTCCATACCCTCACAGTCCATGCCTCCCCAAGTCTGGGGTCTTCCTGCTGAGTCTTCAGCTCCTGCTGTGTCTCAGYTTCCAGTTGCCTGGTAGGATCACAAGTCATGTGCTCTCAGCAGTTCCTGACCTCTTGCCTCAGGCTCCCACTCAGAGCTCAACCTGCAGCACTCACTGCAGCTGCACCCCAAGCTACCTGCACTCAACACAGAGGGTACCTCAATCTGTTTCCTCATTTAAATCATTCTTCCAAAAATTCACTTTCAGAACTCTCATAGTGAGCAAGGCATTAATCATTACTCATCTCTCATACAACTGTGCACAGTTTAGAAGAGCAGCCTTTTCAAGAAATAATCTCCCCCCCATAACTGTTAAATTTTTTCTAGGCCTACTCCCTGCACATTTACCTAATAATCCACTTTATGTCAATAATTTACTAATTTAAGATCACTACTATTTTTTTGTTTCTAGAGTATCTATGTAGCAGAATGAAAAAGCAAGGGAAAAAAACTGAAGAGATCCAGTGCAGGCCAATAGCCTTGCATGTTACTACATAGGTCTGCGCTCTTGGATTAGTAAAATAAGAATAAATCCACCAACAGAATTTGATTTAGATATCCCTAACTTAAATATCTCAGTAGCATCTTAATTCCAGAATACCAAAATGTCATCAAAACACTATAATACGTCTTTAATGAATTCAGAGGCACTAACAAAACTTTTATAACCTAACAAGTTTCAAGATATTACTTAAAGAGCAGACCATGGATATTGCACTCAAATTTTGAAACGCCAAGAAATAACATTAAGTTTTGATTCTTTACTGCTTGCTAGTAATCACGGAAGTTAGAGGGATTGATTAAAAGACAACTGAATATAGGATAGCCAGGAGGATTTTAGATTAGGGGGAAAAAATCTTCTGAATGCAAGGCCATTAGAYAGTATTTATGCAGAATGGCATAATCAGTGCCCTAACAATAATAATGCCTCTGTCTCAAATTGAAACCACAAGACAGTTTGAATCTCACTAGCAAAACATTCAAAAAACCCCTTACCCTTGAGAAACCTTGCATAAGGAAGCAAGGTTCCTGCATAAGACAAGGCCTCAAATTTCAAACTTTTTTGCACATTTGGAAGGATACACTTCATTGTGTAAGCTCAGGTGGTAATACTGTTGCAGACAAACTAATAAAGGCAGAAATTTACATTCAGAACTAATAACGATTGCTTATGAAAATTGGTGATGATCATAGTAGATTTATACGATGGAGAAGCATCAAATGTTATTTGTTGTTTATATTCAACAGCTTCAAGCAAGAAAACATGCAGTCATTCTAATATCATTATTTTGTGGTATCAAGATAAAAGACCAACTAATAAAACAGCCCGAGAACACAGAACCATTATCTCTTCAATGCTGTAACACCAAGGTTAAGCAGCAACTTGTAACATAGGCACAGAACTAGAAAATGCAAAAAACCAGCAGTACTCACACCCATTCCCTCGGGAAGACTTTCAGACATTGACTTCTTACTAGCAACACCACTCAATTCAGCTTTGAGTTATTACATTTGTCTAAATTAAAAAGCAATATCAGRAGCACAGTTCTCACCATACCCATATTGATGCAAAAGTGCAGTTAAGTATGTCAACAACAAAGCTCAACTCAGCCAACTCAATCTTTATATTTYGCAGGAAAAATTCCAAGCAGGTGTCTATTACACTGAAAAAGCTTCAGAATGTTTGCAGTTTTAATTAAAATAAATCTTCTTAACAGCAAAATCAATGCAAGTCACCTGAACATGTCCCCATGTCCTTGAGTTAATACTCATTGAAYTTTATTCTGAGATTTCACAGCTATTTCAGTAGTAAGACCTGAACAGAAGGTACTCTGTTTTCAGGGGAGTGTTTTACATCAGAATGGTAACTGAGATTTCTTTAAATGGTAAGAAAGTGAAAAAAATGTGTATTATTCACATTGATAAGCACTCCTATGCATTTCAAGATAAAACTAAAAATCACAAGTGAGATATATACCTTTCATATCCTTAACAGCAGAAATGTCAATTACATAGCAGTTTTGCTGGCAGATGATAAGAGAAGAAAAGCATGCAAACATAGACATACTTTTTCAGGCCTGAAACCCTCTATGTATGACATGACACCAACATTTAGTCACTTTTCTGATGATACAAGGCTACCTCAAAGCTGGGACTACTTCACAGTGAGATTGGACAAGATTAGTGTAGTCTGTTTATGGAAGCATGCGTTTTTGTTCCTTGCAGTATCTAAWGGGGGCCTACAAGAAAGCTGGAGAGGGACTTTTTAGAAAGGCATATAATGGTAAGATACACAGAAACAGCTTTAAACTGAAAGAGGGCAKATTTATATTAGTCTAGTTTAGCTGAAGGTATCCTTGCCCCTGTCTTCTGCCATTAGAACTGAATGCTGCTTCCAGTCCAAACCACCGTATGATTCTATGAAATGTAGCAAATAAGACACAAATTCTCATTTTGCAATAAATATCAAAACAAAAATAGGCAGTTTTAACTACACGGTAAAAACTTCTCACTGTGTAAATAGTTGGCATTATCATTCTTGCCAGAGAGCAGCTGCTTCCAGCAAATTAAAAACAATGTAACTAAAATTCACAATTCAATTCATAAAATAAACTAGTAAACATACAGAACAAAATTCTACAACAGTGCATAGTTATGTTGTGTTTACTAACAACTGAAAATGAGAAAGAACAAAGAACAAGAGACTAACCAGCATGGCTACAATGTGAGCATATAAACCATCATCTTAAGTTAAATACTATCCTAACACTAAGTATTCTTCCTCCAGACATCTCTGCACTTACAGGATTAGAAAAAAGATCTATTTGTTAGTTTTTTTCAGTTTATTTTTTAAAAGCCAGGAAGAAAAACTTTACTAAAATTCAAATCAATCTGTTCCCATTTAGTTCTGCTTCACAAAACYGAATTAATCATTCAACTACCTAGTGAAACGCAAAGATCCATGAAATAAAATGCAGCAGTAAACAAGAAGCAAAATTACCTCAAAAGCAAAGAAGGCAAGCATAAAAGGCAGCTAATTGTTCCCTGATTACTTATAATCTCTTGTGCAAAAGAAATTGCTCTGMCAAGGCAAAGGAAGACTGACCACAAGTTTTGCCTGCTGCTTTCAAATACCAGTGAAGATCAAACACTTAAAACATTTTCTGGTAGGGCATCTATAAACTGTATGGATGCAGGCCTCAAAAAGCATAAAAGCTGGTCAAGAAGTTCCACAAGTGAGAAACTGATGAGCTTAACAGAAATATGCCTAGTCTGCACAGCTGCAGGTTGAGCTTTCAGGCACACATGGCCATGTCTGCTGGATTCAAGCTCCTGCCTGTGCAGATGGTGCCCCTTCATAAAGTAGTGCATATCTTCTCCATCTCCATCATGATACTTGCTTTTAGGTCACTTTGTGACAAGACAGTTGGACCTCTGTTCCCTCTCAKGTTACTATAAGCTGCTGCTTCACTGACCTGAATCTGGAACAGASGTTATGACACCTGCAACTGAGGTGGCCTGGGGAATAATGAGGACTGCCTTCTTCAGTCTCCTGTTCCTAGTAGCCAGCAATGGATGTCTTAGTTTTCAAATTTTATCATTTATTAGGATTAACAAGTGACCAAAATCAGAATCATGCTAAAGGCTGCGCTGCAGTAGCTACAGAAACGAAAAAATTTACTTTTTTTGTTCATAACTRCAAAATACTTAAATCTAACACTGCAGTTTGGATCCAGTGAGAGAGAAGTCTGTCTACAGTTAAAGGAGGTAACGCCATAATTCAGAAAAGCAATGATAAGTAAGAAGGAGAGCTCCTACCTAATGAAATGATAGACTCCAACATGAAAAGTGTTTAGTTGGGATGAGGAAAATGCATGACAAAGAAGAGACATTTTAATTTTTCCAGAATGTCTGCTTCTCATGTTGGTTGAGGTGCTTTGGAAAGGCAGTCAAGGATGCAACAGCAGAAGAGCTRTTCTCACATCACCGATTGTATCAGCTGTATCCACAACACAGATTGGTGAAGGCAGAGAACGAACATGACAGAAACAGAYATGCCCTATAGTAGATGCAAACAAAGAATTAACAATTCAGCTTGACTAAAACACAGTTTTAAGAATGCCCAAGCCCAGTGGTGTAACTCTCAGCAGCACAATGAATGTTAAATGCTGACAATGTTAAACACTAGAGGACCTGTGCCTACCTTAGGTCAAACAAAACAGTAAACACTGGTCATCTTAATGTTTTGCCATTTCACTGAACTGTTAAACACAGTAAGGATTCAAAATAAAAGGCAATATAAAGAATGAAAACCACACAAYTCAGGGCTTTTTAATAATATTGGTAAATTACAAGTGGAGAGAGTTTCTCTTTCAGTCACTGGGAAATAAGTATTAAAGTAACTGATTCTCTATAGCAGAACTTCATGCTTGGTGCATTCCCTTCTCTTTTTTTCTTCCACTGCTCAGCCCAATGACTAAATTCACCAGATAACACATAAAAACAAAACCACAATTGTATGGAGACAGAAAGTGCTCCACAACATGAAGACTGGGTTATGTTAGTGGAGAACTTAAAGTTTGACAGTTTCACATGTTGAGTCAACGATTATGTTCAAGAGTAACCTAAACACAAACCCTTATTTAACCAATCGCCTCCAAAATATCTGAGACAGACTGATCTCCTTATGACAAATCTCAGGACACAGCATACACTGTCTGACAATCCTCTGTCAATCCACCACAGTCCATGCAAATGTGTATCTCTCATTAGTTTGAAAAGGTTCAGCTAATTGATCTTTTTTGGGACAATATACCCACCCATTAAAACAAACAAATTAGGAGGTCAAACAGTTACATTTTCAAGAGAGTCAATTCTAGTAAACATCTACATGTGACTTTCTGTAATTCAAACAAATAAGAGGTAGTAGTGAGTTTTCCTTTGACTAATATTTAGGAAATTCCACAAGCCATGCACTAAGCTGTTGTGCTCAGCCACACAGAACACTAAATAACAACTGAGAAGAGGCATACTAGTTTGGGCAGTCACCATAATCTAAACAAACAACTRCCACAAGAGCATGAAAACTGAACAGAACCTTTTCAGACAGCAAGTACTCACTATCTAGTACTTCAGAAGTTGCTAGATGAGCTCTGCAGATGTGGTTGGATGTACAGCTACTGTTTTATTCCTTGCCCACTACACTTACTATGGAAGCAAAGGAAACCACACAAAGCAAAAAGCTACACACATCTGTAAAGAGAAATAAAAATAAGGTATAGGCACAGCACAAGCCTTTCCATATTAAAAAGACAATTTTAGACAGTCCTAAAGCACTACCAGGAAAGGGGGAAAAGGCACAAGATCAATTTCAAAAAAGCAATTAAACTTCCAGTGGTCTTTAAGGAAGAAACCACTTGCAAGAGAAGGAAGAGGAAACTGCTTCAAACATAACTAAGTGATGCAGGCATACCCAGAACACCATGTGAGGACAAGCAAATAAGAAAGTGAAGCACAGGAGTACTTCAGATGCATGTAGTGTAYAACAAGAACATATTAAGATCTAATACACAGCCACGGGAAAGTAGGAACTGTAACTTCATTAAAACTGCTTTGCATCATGCAATAGTTTGTGCCCCTTGCACACTCCCTGTCCTGTGTCTGTGTGGTTTGCCCCGTAAGAAAAGTTTGATGCCACTGTCCCAGTTACTTCTATAGACAGCTTAAAGACAAACCAAAGCTGTGCAGTTTTTGCAGCCTTTAAAAAACAGAGGACCTCACCTTTCTTAACCATACAAAGGAAGTTTAAACAGACTAATTGTAAGAGCAAACAGCTAAAAATACACTTGAGGTGCCTACAGAGGTGCAATACCCACAAATATAATTTACCAGAATACTATAAACACTTTAGAGCAGGACTATGCACAAGTCAAACAAATTCTGAAAAAACCTATGCAGGAAGTAGACTTCACTTTAAGACTATTCCAATTAAAGGGACATAAAGCCTACAATAAGAAATAGGGTTCAGTATTCTTTCGGAGGCTCTAGTTCAGACATGGTATTCAGTAGTGACTTACTTGCTCTTATTAGAGCTAAGAAAACCCTTTAACACGGCACAGAATTTTATTATGAGATGAAAATGTATAARTTGTACAGACTGCTTAATATTGATAAGGAAGTATTAGAAACATTTGAAATGGGACTGACAACTTGATTAGAAAAAAATAATCTCACAAATCTGAAAACATATACATCTAAATGTGAGAGTAATCATCCATGCAACGCAGGGTAAAGGAGACAAACAGTCCAGATCCTTCTCACACYATCTTGAAGGCATAGGATTCCACCTGAAGACCTTATTTTCCGGCAGTTTTTCCCGCCTCACATACATTCCCTTGATCTGTAGTTTTCACCACTCCATCTTTTGAATTCAACCCTTATACATGAAGGTCCTACCTAATAATTCAATTCTCCATGCTGCTCCAGCCCCCATCCGCTCATCTCTCAAAAGTTTTTAATACTTAAAATACAGAGCAAACAGTACTTATGAACAGGTTTTTGCCGCAACATTCTCAGTTCCAGTATATGACTGCTGAAGTAACTTTTGTATTAATATCATTCACAAAATCTCAGGTTAGCTACCAGCTATTACAGCTCAAACTTGGAAAAATATGCTCAATTTACCATTTCTGGAGTAAAGTCCTGAGCCTTCATTTAAAACTCTTACCAGCACAACTTTCAATTTTTATTTTTTGTTTTACTCACTTGGCCACAGACTGGATAACTTTAGAAGATGTATCCTTAATATTAGTGAAAAATCGCTCTGTTCCACCCCTCAGAATATCAAAGAACCCTCCATAAGTCTGGTCACATTCCGCAACGGCCAGGCCTAGAGTAGTTGAATAAAAATAATTGTACTTTATTATGGAGCCCATTCCAGGATATGACATAAAGTATGTTGCCTATAAAGCTGGAAGTGAATGCACATACAGGGTACATCTTGCTGTAAGGCTCACAGTTCTAAACCTCTCCTTAACTTTGACCTATTGAAAAAATAGTAATTCCTGCAGTCAGGAGGTACTAGTGTTCTACTTAACACGTTGTTTAATCTGCTGTCTGTATTAATRAAAAAAGAATTTAAAAGATCTGGAAGTAAGGCATATGTTTCATACAGTCAATGCAGCAAAAGACTACCTTTCTTTAGTATCAGTTTCTTAAAGTGCAGCTTATCACTGGCAAACCTACTTAATCACCTCCAGCAGACAAACTTTAATGCAGGGCTTCAAAAGCAGCTGGCATAGTTAAGGCTAAATTTTAAACACAACATTCCAGAGAGCACAACATCACGGCACAGTATTGATATTAATATGATTGCATACAAGTAGGCATTCTGGCACAAAACAAGATGATCAGACAGACTTTTGATTATAATTACATTACAAAGCTGGATTTTTCCACAGAAATTGGTATACACATAATATTAGTGCAATAAATATTACCCAATTTAAACATTTCTCCATGAGAATTAGTATCTCTTGTCTCACTGACAGCTCATCATAATTAATATCAAGCAAGAAATATCAAGCTGGAAGAAAAACTGAATACAATATGAAATAGTCCCTAGGTATCTTCTTCATTAATTGAAGCACTCCATATTCACATACAATAGTCAACATTGGTGCAGAAACAATAAGAAAAAATCTAGATGTAAATAAACCTATCACGTTTCTTATTTTCTTTACTATATTAAGTATTTTCAACTGAATGCATTCTGGAATCTCCGTTTCTACAGAGTAAGTGTCAGCTTTTAATTGCRTCATTTTGGAGACATGCTTTGATTGATTTCATTCAGTTTTGCTAGTCCAGTCTCTATTTTTCCCAGGTGGAACCCCAACTCCTCCTCCTCACCACTCATGTCCTATGGTGCAACCATCTCCTGAAGGCCAGCCTGCACAATGTAGTTGGGCTCAAGGCAGTACAAGCTATAGCTGCATCTGAAAGTGCTGACTGTGGAATCACTAGACCAAATTTAGACTACTGCCTTCTCCTGTTGAGGCTGTCAGACATGGATCTTTTGGAACTGAAAAACKAATAACTTTAGACTACAATCACTGTCAGATGCACTTCAAAATATCAGGGGGGGTGGGAGGAGCGCACCAAAAGTCTTTTTGGTGGGAAAGAAAAGGRAAGAGAGGTGGACCCAAATGTTTATGGAAGTATTTCTTCCTCATACAGGCTTTTCGTAGTCTAAAATGAACACATATGAGGTCACAACTTCCTAGCATTACTGAACTACTACGGTCCACAGTCAAAATCCATACAATTGCTTCTGCATTTATTTATTGATCTCTCTCATCTGTCACTCATGAAGGCTATTTTAGTACAAAGTAATACCAATATGCCACAAACAGCCACTATCTTTTTATGCTATAACCCATCTGATATTAAATAGCTCTTCTTAAAAAGCAAAGGCTAGTCTCACTTTTTTACCTCAGAGACCCAGTGTTGAACACAAACTCAGGACGTGCTCTGATTTTAGTACCTTCTGTCACAAGGTAACAATGTTTCAACTAAAACAGAGCACCACAATATTATTAACAGTTTAAATTGAAACACCTCTTACATGCTACTCCTTAGACAATGCACTTCCAAATACTGCTGCCTCATTGAATTAAAAAAATTCAGGGTTTAAAATAAGCTATGTTCACCTGTTTGTCGTGAAGACTCTCTCTCCAGCTTTTTATTCTTTAGAACATCATTACATCTCATATTCACACTTCCATCAAGTTTTAGTTCACTTATGTCAACACTCCTGCCTCTATAAGTCAATAGGGCACTTTAAATAATTTTCCACAGGAAACGTAACTTTTATGTTGCACAGCAATGAATTTGAGAAATTCTTATTTGCATGTATCAACATAAAATCACACCATACAAAAAAAATAATGTAAGGTTAGAAGCAAAGATATAAACACCAAATAGCTAGTACTAGTGCAAAGTATCTAAAATCCCCAAATGATTTTTTTTCTCCCACAGAAGACATGCCATTGTCTTTACACTAAAATGACATCTCTTTTTGAACATACCTGCATTGTACAAATTGTTGAGCTGCCCTGAAGGCTTGGAGCTCTGTGAAACAGAGGTCACAGATGTCCGAGGCTGAGCATTGTTTCCATAGCCTCCATTTTGTTCCAGAAGCTGAGGAGARTAACACTCATGATAAGCATCTTCTTGCTACTTCAGTCATCTTGCTATGCTTGGCAAATTACTGCTACTTGGTGAGAACAAGCAAACTGAACCTCAGGACAAAGCCAGGAAATTAAGATACACTGACTCACCTGCAGTGCAAATTAAGCATAGAACAGGAGATGCCTAACTGGCTTTCGAGTTAATGTAGGCAGAGCCTTCACATACGAAATATTTCTGTGCAAGTTAATTATGATAAAGCACAGCATGTGAAACAGAGTGCCAGCATACTAAAGAATAAACCAAGAGGATGAAAAGATTTTCAAGAAGTAGTATGAAAGACTAAATTTCCTTTAATGTCTCTGTCCTTTAACAGGCATATTTTCAAAGATCCTACAAATGATACTGATCAATTCAATTGAACTTCAAAATAAGTTAGTGCAAATTTTTCAAAATCTGAACCTACTCTGAAATCTGTTACTAAATGTACACACACTGCAGAGGATAGAAAGGAGGCCTTATCAATAATACTCTTTATGAGACATTTTTACCTCTGTGATAGGTGATTTAGGGTTGACATTCCTAGCTGCTGCAATCTCCTGTAGCTGGTTCACAAGTTCAGTGATTGACAGCCTCTCCTCTGGGTTCACCTTCAAAGTGGAGCCTAAAAAATGAGATTCACAAAACATAACAAAACCTGCAGATCTTTTCTCCTAACTGATAATATCTCCAATACACTCCAATGTAATAAGCAAACACATGAACAGAGGGAAGAAATTGCTAAATCAATATTTAAATACAACTCTCATATTGGTATCCATCAAAAAAAAACAACACTACTTGGGGTCAGCAATATTTCAAAGACTGCACTTGAGGATGATTTAATAGAGAACATCAGAGGTAACCCTGTCTAACACTGTTGGATACATTTCTGGAACAGTAATTMCTATTTCCCATAATCTATTTCAAACCTGAAGAAAATAGAATTTTTTAAGCAAGTTCAAAGAAACCAAATCAAAACACTAATTGTGCCAATGGACTAATTCAGATACTAAGCAAGACAGGTAACAGAACTACAAAAACAACTTTCACATAAAATTTCATATTTTTTTTTTTATAATGGATTAAGATTGTTAATAAAATGAGAAGTTGCTGCAGTTTACCTTTTTCACCACCACATGTCAGTAACATTCAACTACCAGCRAAACAACTATGAATAACAACATGTATCCATACAGACACCAAATTAAATAGCACTGTGAACTTACGAATGAGATCATGAAACACCAAATAACGGGTGTCATTTTGTGGGATGACATATTTCCCATTGACTATGCGAAGTTTAGCTCCATCTTCAAATGGGTGTTGTCTAAAGCACAGCAGGTACAGGATACAGCCCAGCGCCTACAGACATAAACAGACATACTGCATAGAATCAGGGAGTCATTCAGGCTGGAAAAGATCTTTACCATCCTCAACTCAAATGTTAATTCAGCATGGCCAAGCCCACCACTAAACCATGTCTCTCAGTACTACATCTTTTAAATACCTCTACTGCCCTCGACTCTCTTCCAAAATCCAAAAWCCTGCTGTTCTAAGACAGACATTACTTTCTTTGTTTTTAAGCTCACACAGTGACAAGCACAGACACATGAGTGTTAATCACTCTACCTGCTTTCTTTGGAAAAGTGCTTTGTTTATCCTAATCACAAACAACAAATCATTTATGCTTCCAGAGGCAGGGCCRTATTCTACTGTCAAATACTTTGCATATTTTTATTGAACACAAAGCATAAACAAAAAGATGTGGAACAACATGTTCCAATCCAAGCACAGTAAATCAAATAGATGTTCCCATCACCCTGTTAATGCTAATATATACAGAGTTATTTGAAACAAAAAGTATACTGCAATTGCCCTTTTGAGTGAGGCTTTTATTAAACACATTCCTAATTCTGTGTTTAACTAGATGTAATCCTGGCTCAGTATTTCATGCCTGTGAAGTGATCAAGTGGTCAGAAAAATGTGTTTTACTTGGTGTTTCTTCACAAGCCRTAAGAACATCACCAACAGCTGTAGAAGATGAACAAGGGTGTCCACAGTATCTTGTAACGACTTTAATAAACTGAACAGAGTTCCAACATTCCATATAAAAACTTTTAAAGCATCAGCACTATATTTTCTAAATTTGTCTTTGACACACTGCCCATACAGGTAAGAAATGAACAGCTTGACACCTGCCTCTGCAAAAAGCATCCCATAAACTAAGTCCCTGAYGCTACACTACTGGGGAGCACCTCTGTACTGCAATATTATGCAACTGGAACAGGTTCAACTGAGGATTTAATGTTCACCTTTAATTCTCATTACAGATCTTTTAGTGAACGTGAACAGCTTATCATCCTTTCTATATAAAGCATTAATGATATCTGTATTGTTCTCATCCTTGCTATCTGACACTGTTTTAACTACAGCATACCTCAACACTTTGAACTCAGCAATAGGCAGCCCCCAGATAATCTGCATGGCAGAGCATGAAAGGCAAGAATTTCAATTTAAGGACTCCAAGTATTCTGGATTTATGGTTGCAAGCACCAACCAAGCAACAGTTGTACTGAATGTTAGAGAAGTTCAGGTCACCTCTCAAACAGAAGTCAAGCTTGACCTGGGAGAAAACTTAAACCATATCTCTTCCTTTTAACACAGAGATACAGAGCCTCTACTATTTAAGTTTAATTTGATATAAGATAGCATCCTACATTTATTTCAGTGTTTTAATTATTGAATCAACAAACTATGAGAAGTCTGCAAAATCAGTTTCACTGTTACATGAGCAACTATCATGCAGCAAGGAAAAAAAACAAACCACCTTTCTTACCCAAATGTCCTGCTTTTCACCAATGGGAAAATTAGAATACAGGTCTATCATTTCTGGTGTCCTGTACATTGGTGTTGTATTCCTTGTGATCTGGAGAAGACAGAATTTAATGAAACAATTTTGAAGAATGAGATCTAATGGCATTCAGCCAAGGAAACAGCTCTCCATGTAGAATGAATAGTACTCTCATTTTTAAAATAATTTCAGACACACCAGTCAAGGAGAAAGCAATCAATTTAATCCTGCTATAGTCACAACAGCTTTTACATAAGGTCAGATGAAGACAGTAGAAATCAGATAACACTGTGATAGTCAAGAGTCCTCCCAGACAGTAAAGTGACTGTTCTACATGAGGCAAAAATGGAGAGAAACACTAATACCAAAAATTAACAATAAGCCAATAAGTGAATTCACACTTCAATATGTCTCTCTCCCTTTCTCAGCACAGTTGATGACAGTGCAGATACATACAAAGAGAAACTTTATGGGCATAAGGATCCCTGAAGAGACCTTTTCTAACATCTTTTTGCACAGAATATACATGACAGTGATACCAATCAAAATTTCACCAGCAATTAGTGGAGTGTTTTCCAAGAATGCCAGATTGCAGAAACAGAGGAAGCTTAGAGAGACTTGTGATGTCAAGAAGTTGCACCAACTAAATTAAGCGTATTTCCTCTACTGATGTACCACATTAGATTTACCAGCAGCACTCTCAACTCTAAACCAAGAACAAATGCACTTGGCAAAAGCACACTGCACACTAGACATGGCCACTGCAGTCCAAGTCACTGCAATACTGCCCATTCCTATTCTGCTGAGCAGACTTGCCTCTATCTAGCATTCAACTCAGAAAAACAGATCAGAACATGGGAATCAGTCCAGCAATTTCTGACTGCTTGTCAAGAGTTCAATTAGAAGATGATCTAGTAATCACTTCTATTTTCACACCAGATTGCAGAATGGATAGTGACCATGCTGAAGCAGTGTTTCTATATGTAGCTACAGACTACAAGTCATGATTGTAACTGCATTAGCTTTTGAACTTTGGCCAACAAATACAAAACCAAAACTTTATAAATAACACTGTAACTGAAACAACTTTCAGTTGCCTTAGAAGTCTCATGAATTAATACCAGATTAATAGTAACAATTAAATGAATCCACTGTTGATATTAAGATGGTATCACTTTTAAATAGTCTCACCTCTTCTTCAACCAATGCTCTCTTCTGTGCAGACCAGTTGTAGTCAGGATAGTAAGCTATAGTTGTAGCACTACCGAAGTCACAAAGTTTAATCGTTCCCTGGTTACTAATAAGCAAGTTTTCTACCTTCAAAAAAAATAGAATAATAGATCAAAAACATTTGGTTTTTTTTTGTCCTGTACACTAACACACATGCTTTTACACATCATCTTACTTGTGCATATATTTAAAAACTAATCAATTTAACCCAAAATATTGTTTACAGCAGCACAAAGGTTTCAGACAGTACTGTCTATATGGTAGCAACATAGCCAAGTTTTAAAAGGAAGCACCAAACACGCCATGAGCAGGAAACATTCAGGACAGCAAGAAACAAACTCAAGGGGAAGAAAACTCATTAGAGCCTAAGAAAAGATAGTTTTTTAGRTAAGAACTTGCAGAAGCAGTCTTAGAATCCAAATGTTTTCAGATGTAAAACTGAACGCTGTTAGCTTAACTGCARWGGAGTGGAGGTTAGGACTGTTACAGACACTAAACAGGAAGGTACTAGTAGACAAAAAGGCTACAAGTAGACACCTAYAAAGAGGGAGCTGTGACCCTGTGCAGAGACAGAAAACAGCTATTTGAGAACCACGTGCTGCCTTTACAGTTAATTATCCCTSCCTTTTTTTACTTCATAAACTCCAGCTTTCCTAATGTTAATTGAAATGTGGAAGAAACTTAAGGAAATAATAAAAGTACAGGGCAGATGTACTTGGAGTCACAATCACAAAAGGGCTGAGAAATAAAATCTGTATCTCTGCATGAAGTTAGGAAAACATGTACAAGTTAACTGGCTCAAAATTTTTCACTTGTAATTTTCTATGCTGCTGACCTTGGTTTAGCCTGCTAAAAAGGGCAGCATAGATAAATGGGCCCTATTTGGTTCTTGGCTGTAGAAAGGCCTCTGCCTCTTGTAGCACAACAATCATTTAATCTTGCTTTGCAGCCTCTGCAACATGAGACCAACACAAAACCAAATTCCTGTTCTTCCCCCATGTYTTATCTGTCAGGAACATACATTCCTTGAGAAGAAAAAACAGTTCTTGAATTACAGTATTAGCAGAACAACTATSAAGCTGGCTATGAAAGAAATTGTATTTGTAAATAGGCTTTTTTACTTTTTTTATTTTTCAGAAGAGAGGTGCATCTTTTCTACTAGCTAGGGGCTGGTGTATAGAAATTTCAGTAAGAAACGGTTAACATGTCTCTGATACAATCTAAATGCCTGTTCAATGTTACTAAGCAAAAAAAAAAAAATTAAAAAGTCAAAAAAGGGGAAAAAATATAGCTTTGTCACCAAAACTAGGTTTATATTTATAGGCTATACTAACGGCTAACATCAAAGCCTTCATAAGAGCATTGAAAACACTTAGCACATTTACTTCTAAAGAGTGGTCATATTTTCCTGCCCCAAAGTAATTCAGTACAAGCTTACTTATGGAGGAAGAAATTTTCCTATTTTTATATTCAAATGAAATCACATCAGGCTGGATACAGACACGTGAAATTCAGACACTGTTCCAGAAACAAGAATCTTCTCTCTCATTTTTTATGCTTATGAAAATTCAAATATATTTGTAGTACAGCAGAATCTCACCAATGATTAGTGTTTCTTCATCTAAGGTATAATGAACGCATAAAGGTACCCTGTCTTCAAAATACAAAATTAAGATTCAGGTAAATCTCCAAAGCTCTTAAGGGTAGAACACCTGAACACCTTCTACACCATAACCCTRTAGCCTTCAGGTAAAGGCTAATAAAACAAAGAGAAAAGCCCTAAGAAACAAAATCTAACATGAACTATGCCTACCAAATTTTATAATTCAAATTAAAAACAAGTACTGAAGGGCAATGCAAGTTATCTGTTCTAAAAGTAACAGCTTACTACACAATAGCAAGGTAATCCAGATAATTCAGCTTTCTTCTCCTTCAAAGCTTTATCCCTTTTATTTAGACACCTGCTTATCCCAGAACTGCAATTCACAAGTTGTAACTGGCTATTTTATCAAAACCAAAATACTTAGGCTAATTTAATCAGCAAAACATGATRCACAACTTTTCTGTTGGCTAGTTTCAGATAGAATACAAGTAGTTCATAACTGCAAGCAGAAGGAAAAGATGTTGTCTGAAGAGATGCAAGTATACCAGTGATGGCCTTCCCTAATACTCASCAGCTGTGGCAAGGCAACAGACCTAAGCACTACGCTCAAGAGTAGTTTTTAACACTCATGCAGCCCAACAGGATCATTTGCTGGTTTAGAAGTTCAGCCTTTATTTAAACATTGTAACACACCTTTAAGTCTCTGTGGATAATAGGAGGCTTCTGCTTATGCATATGCTGCACTGCTCTGCAGGTCTGATAAAAGATCTTCAAAACTGTGTCACAAGAGATAGGTCCTTTGGATTCTACTTTCTTTAAGAACTCCACCAGCTGTCCTGCAGGAAATCAAGAGAAATGCACGTAAGTATAGAGAGAACACCACAAATTCTGAAAGCTTGACACAAATAGACCTTTGTCAAGAAAGGTTTACAGTCTTGAGTTGCATTAAGTAGATATTCTCAAAATGGCAAATTCACACTGACTGCAGTGCCAAAAGAAAGAGTGCTCTAACGAACCACTACTACTCTCCTTTCCTCTGGTCTCAAACAAAATATACTTAATGATTACCTCATATTTAAGACAAGGTTAACCTGTAGTCTAAAAACTATGATCTTTATCCTATAAAAGATAAGGTTGAACTCTAGCTCCACTGAACCATGCTATCTTCTACAGTCATTCAAAGCTTATAAGTTAACAAGCAACCTGTGCAAAGCAGCTGCCAGAAGCAATGTGCACTTCTGGGAAAAGAAATAAAGTTTACCTTTACACAGCTCYGTAAGCAGAAGAAACTCTCCTTGTCCTGTGTCTGATTCTTCTTTTCCTATAGAAGCTGCAGAGCAAAACTGGACAATGTTGGGATGACCTGAAAGTTTTTTCTGGAGATAACACATTGAAGGAAGATGACTGCCAAGTTCATTGATACTAGTGCAACCAGTAGTTAATTTGAAATGTTAGCTTAAAACCACAGGAAGCATAAAAGCTGAAATCAATACCCTAAGCAAAACAGGGAAATCCAGCTGTAAAAATTCAGCTGTAAAAAAATCTGAGAAACTAACCTAAGGTAAAGTAATCAAAAGTCAAAACAAAATATTAAAAATTCCTTGTGATWAAGGCTCTGAGAAAACTGGACTCAGTTACAGGTCTAGTACTGTCTGTCTTTTGACAATGACTACCAGAGACTAGCATGAGTAGCAGAGATATCTTCTAAGTATCAACTGCTTCTCTAGAAGGCTGATCAAGAAAGGGCTATTGTCTCCTCACCTATCTYTCCTAAGGAAGTAATAAGCATGCCATACTTCAATTTTAGGTAATTAAAATAAAGTTCAAAACAACTAGAGGTCTAAAAGGGCAAGGAATTTATCCTTCCAGCATTAGTAATAATTTTTCATTCTAAAACCTTTATCATGTTTCATGTCCAGTTCAAAAACTCAAGGTATCATTTTTGAATTATATAAAGTGGAGTATAGTATAAGTGATCTCAGCTCCTGCCAGTGGAAGTTATCTTGCATTATGCCTGTCTGTGCATACGCTGAGATTCATTCCTGTAAGACAAACTGTTTACATGATTCATTMACCAAGTCTGAAGAGAAAAAAGCAAAGACATTTTAAGTAGAACAGAAYCACTTAAAAATGGCAAGTTGGATCCACAAAAATTGCATAAATCTGATCTTACACATCTCCTTACAACTTCCTATTTAGAGCTGCAGGAATTAATAGCATTTCAGTKTTATCTCAGAAAGTTAGCAACAGTTAACCCTTGGTCATGTTGTATRCATACTTTAAGGACTCTGAGCTGTGAAAGACATTCAAAGAACATTGAGTTCTTTACTCTTGGCAAATAAAGACAGAACAGATAGAAAATGTATAGTGCTATGGAATTCAGTTCTTAGAAGTGCAGTCCTAGTAAGTAGTCATTAGGCTAAGGTTTTGCCAAATATATCAGCAATCATAAAAGGAAATGTTTGAGTAGCAGGTGGSTTTGCCTGCTAAATGTTCAAAGCAGAAAACATGAGCATACCACAGCTACTCACTGACACTTCAAACAAACTGAGGGACTAAGAGGAGACATACCAGGCATTGAATTTACTAAAATCAAAGCCTGAAAATACTTTAAGATTACATTATACCCTATTATCTGACATCACTGCAGAAAAAAAAAGGACAGCAAGGACACTGAGAAACATGTGCTTCTTGATTCTTAGTCTACCGAAATTACTTCCTTAATGTTCAGCATTACTTCTTAAAGCCATATGCATCCAAAGCAGAAATTAATGAACATTGAGARTAAAAGTGAAGAGCAATAAATCTAGTGCATGTGAGGGAATTCTATTTAAGATCTAGGTATCATGTGAATAGTCAAAAGGTCTCGACTACATTCATAGGACTGAAAACAAGCTCAAATAAGCATTTCACTTGCAAGAAGTACATAGCAAAGTCTACACKAGTTACAAAAGTTATTTGCATACATTGTATTACAGCAATTTTTGAAGAACTGAATTTTCTGGATGTTGGTACTAGATTTATAACAAACCATGATCCCTAGAATGTCAGTCCTCTTAGGCATGAGAAGAACAGAATCTGTACAGCAGTCCTTTGTTTCCCAGAAATATCAGACAGTAAAATATATTACAGAAAAGGATACCATAAAACAAACTTCCTGAATGATGGCTTTGTTCTTTTCCTCTTCATTAGACAACAATCGCTGTTCAAAAAAACAAAATAATTGAGAAGATAGAGTTACTAAAACTTACAGAATAACAATAGTCCATAGATTTTTTTTTCACAGAATATAAAGGATAAGCTATAGTCAAAAACCTAGGGAAGGGAACTGTAATGGGGCAGTAAACACAGCTGGCTTATTGAACATTCTGCTATAAACAATACCCAGTTTTCCGGTTACCTGAGCAATTCAGGTTTAATGATTATTGAACAGTTACAACTTTTGACACTCTTAAACTTAACAACTCTGACAGTTTTGGTATATAAAATGCTGAAGTATCCTGGCTGCAATTGYGTGGGCTTAACAAGGAAAGGTTCACCTTCTGCCTGAAATATTCAGTAATAACCTTCAACTCACTCTAGACAGAACTCCTCCAAACTGTGTAGCCCAGCTTTTTCAATGGTACTTGTGTAATCAGTAGCAAAATCAAGCATTACTGTTTCTAGTATTGCCTGGATTTGTAATCAACATTTGCCTACAATCAGCCTGAGCATTTGCTACAAAAGTACCAAAACAGAGGAAGTAATGGTTCACCTTTTACCAGTTAGTTTTTAACGGTTTTCCTTCTAGAGGACCTTTAGAACACTTACAGTATATGGCTTTGGCCACATATTTTGTTACTGTAAGGATATGGCATGAAATGCAAAAAAACAGACAAAGTTATTACTGGTAGTATAATACCATCTTATCTCTCCCACTCCTCATACAGCTACCCTGTTTACAGCTGATTACCAGAAGCCTCCAGAAAACAAGAATCCAGAGAAATGCCTCTAAAAAGCACCAGGCTGAAGGTTTAAACAAGGAGTCAAAGTGTGGAGCATTATTTTTAGTAATGAAATAAGGGAACTTAAAGTAAGACGGTAGCTAAACCTTCTTCTGACAAGTGACAAATATTCTTGTACTCCATTTCAGGTAACTATGAAAAATATTCCTTTTACCCATGCAACAGAATGCTTTGGACTGGGTAATGAATTTCCAGACCAAATAAAAAAATAAAGACCAGTGGCACCTAAAAGACCAATTCCCATGTTTGTCATCTAATTATGAAGTATAGAGTTTTAAGTGGAATAACCATTCTAAATAATGTACTACAAACATCACTACCATTCTCAATCTTTCCAAGTTACTTGTTCAGTGGCATACATCAAGGATTAACTGTCATGTCAAAATATCAAGCTAAATGTCTGCTRAAAGACAAACCCTATAAACCTACAGTGAAGCAAATCAGTATTACCTTCAAAGCATAATCTTTGCCACTTCCAAGATCTTGAGCTTCATAGACAAAAGCAAAACCCCCTACAAGAAGAAGGTACACAAAGTCCATTTTAATACCAAAATTCAGGTACATTGGTTTTTTTTTTTAGCACAACAGAATCAATACATGAATTTAGATACATTTCTGAACATAAAAAGCATAAGTATTTTTCGGCATCTTGTCAAGAGTGATGGTTACCTACATAGAAGAGTTCACATATTCTATTCCTTTCTTGTATATATGCCAAGAGCACACTGACTTTGTTACTTGCCTGCATTTTGTCAAGTCTGCATAAGCAGATTTCTTATAAAGCAATTTTTTAAAAGGTCCTTATAAAACCAAAATTCAGAACAATCAATATTACCTGGTAATTTCAATTAAACTTTTTGGTATTGCACTGCTAACACATCCTATAAAAAAACAGCAATAATCAAGAAGGATAAGTGTTAAATATACCCCTCCTATTTTTAAGATAATTGTCATGATTCAGGCTCTRTATTAAAATGAGAAAGCATTTTCAAGCACTGAAGCACACATTCTAGTAACAGTAATGTTGTTACTAAATTGCACTTTGATATTCCATTAAATATTTGCCTTCCAAATCCTTTTGTCAAACTATCTATTTTCTCAAACATCTCCTTTTGCTCAAGAATACTGTGCAAACTTCATTGAGACAGTAGAAATTTGAGAGTATATAACTAGCTTAAAATATGCATTTTTACTTCAGTGATTGCACCTTCTTATCAAGAACTGCTAAAAAGAATAAAATTCATTAAACTTTGCATATATCCAGAGAAAAAGCCAGTGGTATCATGTCTGGTTAATTCCTACTTCATTGCACCTGCTTTATAGAGAATCTGACTGTAATGGCCTACAGGCTCACCCTTTACAACGCTGTCCTTCTCAAAGCATCAGCTTCTGGTAAGTTTCCCATTCTGTCATTTCATTCTTTCACATTCTGTCATTTCATCATTCTTTCACATTCTGTCATTTCATTCTCTCACCTGAACACAATTCAGTTCCATACAACACAGCTCATTCCATGCAGTGCTTGGCTCACTACCACTGCAGCACTACAGAAGATACCATATTTAAATCCATGGATTTTCTGGGATACGAAAGGAGTTAAGAGCACATTGTGAAGGCACTTTTTTAAAAATCTTTTTTAAACTATTTGCTATTGGTGAAAACAATTCTTACACAAAAGGCAAAACTAGTCCTATTGCTTCACTCTTAAGAGCAGTTTCATTTACTGTTTGATGCTGGCTTCCTTAAAGAAGTAATCTATTAGAGCTGTTTTAATATACCCTCACTAGGGACAAGTTTACTGGAAAAACTTCACTGCCATGAGTTTACTCCAAGCCCTCTGACCAATACATTCCACAAAAATTCAGAAAAAAATAATTTTAAACAGCACTTCCAACAACTCTATACAAACAAATACCTGTACAAAAGACGTAACCAAGGCAAATGGTAAAATGGAAGTTAAGAGTAGAACAGCTCCTAAAGAATGTAATTACATTTGGGATGTTTTCACTCATTTTTTCCACTTAYGTACATGCTTGATGATTGTTTTAATACAGTTTTCTGAAGCTTTCTATATAAGCAAAATCATCTTGGTATGCCCTCATACAGATCACCAGTGTAGAGATGTGTACATACCCATCCCAGCTATTGCCCAGACAGACGCAGGTTGTCCTACTGAGGCACCTCAGAGCCCCATTCTCAGAATACAGCCCAAAAGTCGTTAAAATTCATCTCATGTAGTATTTTATGCCACAGAATTAACAGCAGAAGAAAACCTGGTTTATTTCTCCTCTGTAGACACAAGCTCTTACACATCAAGGCTCACTACCCTCAAGAGCACCATTCCACCCCTTGAAAATCAGGAACTAGCCCCATCTCATTCGTTTTACTAGTGGTGCCCTGCACTCATCTTCATATCCCCACAGCCTTCAGGCAGAGCTCTTGTCAGTACTTCATGATTGTCTTACAAAGATTTAAAGACCCTTGCTTTTCCAACCAAGGGATTTGGATTCTCCCTCAAATCAAATCTAGGCATCACATAATACTGAATAACTTCAATGCACTTTCAATCAAGTTGGATTTTAAGCTGCTCTTTTTTATCCTGTCCCTGATTTTCACATCTTTACAGATTATTTTTACAGACAAGCCACTTCAGTAAAATGGCTAGAGAAGCACCATAATGGGGACATCAATCACAACATAATAYTACTTGCCATTGTAATTGTCTCACTGTTTCATTACATACTTAACTAGTTGTGAGAAAGCAAGGGTGTGAGTAGCTTCCTGTTTGTAACTATTTGATATGACTTGTCTATTCCCCTCACAAACCCTGAATGAATTTGTTTCCATATCCATTTTCAGTGGTTTAAGTTTCAATATAACCTGATTGAAACAATATCATTCTAGCCTGCATTGTAAGTTTCAGTGGATCTTACCTGAAAGCTTTTCTAYCAGGGTATCAAAACAGAAATTAAGCTCTGTTATTGTTGCCAAGCATTGATTCAYAAGCCTATTTTTTGAAGTCCAGTCATGCATTTTTGTCTATTGCAAAGTCCTAGCAACAAGATGAAACTGCCTCAAAAATGACAGATGGCCCAAACTTGAACTGTACATTTTCCYATACCCTTGAGAAGCAGAGAGGTAGATTATCTTGAAACTTTCAGAGCTCCCCTGCAAGCAGGAACAGCTGCAGCCAAAAACAACTTTTAAAACAATATTTAAAAAACAGAAATGTTCTGCTTATTATTGAAAACATTGTCTACATTTATAGCAGAGAGAATGAAAACTRGAAAGCTGCTAGGTCGGTTACTTTACTTGTTCTTTAGGAAACGTAATTTTTTTCCCCCCTATCTGTCAGCAAATAGAACAAACCATGTTCACAGAAACTTGACATTAAGCATTCATTGTGCCTCTGCTGCTGGAGTTTTACAAATTAAATCCACCCCAAAACCTGTACTTAATTAGGTTATCATTATCCTATAAATCCAGTAGTTGCACAATCCATAAAACTGTTCCTATAAGCTTGGCAAACTGTAATACTGCCTCTTCACACCCAAAATACTGAGGAAGCCTTGAAGTCTAAAGTACAAAAAAAAAAAAAAAAAAAAAAAAAAAAAAAAAAAAAAAAAAAAAAAAAAAAAAAAAAAAAAAAGCTGCTTTAATTGCAGAAGTTTCACCTTGCCAGAAAGCAGCTTGTAACAAGTCACCTATCTGGCTTTAAGACATGACATCCTTTTTTAAACTCAAAAAAAATCTGTAGCCTATTGCTATCTTTCTGACTAAGAAATGATTTTTTCATTATGATAGAAGTTTTAGATTCAGATTAAACAGCTGGAATAATGCATTCTTTTTTTCACCATGTTACTCTTTTTGTGTGCCCTGTTGTCAAGTGTTTGTTGCTCAAAGAAAGCGTAAGAAACCATTACACATGAAGAATGATTGTTAAACGTGTGCTACAGAACTTGCTTGTTCCATGTACTTTACACAACCAAACACCTAGTTTATTCCAAATAGTTCAGCCTCACATGCAAGACAAGCAACAATATTTACTAATTAGGTAGGAAATYTGTGACTGTTTTACTTAACTAAAATTCGGGGGCAGTTCTGTGCACTTAACTGGAGGACCCAAGGGAGCCAGACACCTGAAGCCACCATCATATCAAATGCAAGTAGGGATCATATACAAAGGCCCCAACCAAGGTCCTCTAAAATCTTATCTGCAGTGAACTACTGAAATGTACAAGCAAAAAAAAAAAAAAAAAAAAAAAAAAAAAAAAAAAAAAAAAAAAAAAAAAAAAAAAAAAAAAAAAAACCAGGAGACCATATTCTAGGAGTGCTCAGTCCAGCCTGTAACACAGCCTGTCTGAGCCTTAGTCTGTTCTTGCATTCAGGGGTAGTATCAGCACTAGGGATCACCAGCTCACCCGCCACGGGTTGCTGTCAGCCTTCTGCRGCAGCACACCGTATTTTCAGTCAGACCAGTCCTACCCCAGCAGAACTTGTCTGGGGAAACAYTTATAAGTGATCTGTGAAACAAGTTTCAGCTTAGAGCACAGCCAAACACAGATTTGCACCAGTGCTGGTGTCCAGCACACTACGGAGCTGGAAGGCAATGTGGGCTACAGGAACAACTGAACCTGTGCTGCCACATGATACYATGCAATGCTAAACCACAGGCTCTGTTCACATCAACTACTAACAAAGCWGAACGCATAATTCTACAGAAAAGGCTTTCTCTCTGCATTGGCAGATGACAAGCTCACCACGGATTTGAAATCCAAATTCAGGATTGCAGCACTTGGCTTTCCAGTAGGGAATCTGGCACAAAGGAACTGATCTAGAAGAACAGATTCTGTATTGGTAAACATGAGAGAAAATACATATAAGCCACAGTTGTGGACCCATGTATCAGAAGACACCACAACAGGTCCAGAGCTCAAAGATAAAAGCAATTYGAGCAACAAAATAAAAGCAACTTGAGCAACCAAATAAATTATATGYGACAGAAAAATTCAAGTCTGGAAACAGCAGGAGAGGCTGGGTCTTCTGCATTTTGTATCTATTTCGCCTTTATACTCAATATACCACAAGACTTCTTTTAGACCAGCTATCTTGGCTAGAAAATTATACTTTCCAGAAAAAGAAAGCAGCTAGTCCAGTTTCAATTAGTGAAATATAGACAGAAAACACAAAACAAAACCGTTAACATTGAGACAAACATGGAACACAAAGCAGTGGTTACAGAGAAATTGTCACAAACTGTAGAGTTAAAGAATGYCTCTGTTTGCTTTGAGCCATCTTACCTGCCATCTTTCCCCTGACATTTTAAAATGTCTGTGTCAGATCCTGGGAAACAGTCGGCTGCTGTCTAAAGTATTAAAATACCAGCTCAAGAACCAAATAGCACATATGCCTCAGAAGTAGCTACCTGCCCTAACTTTCCTTTGTCCTTTGGAAACTGCTGTGGTCACGGCCTGCAAGAATGTTACAGTATCAGCAGCACAGACAGTTCTTTTAAATTCACATCATACTGAGTGCTTAGATTTTACTCACAACTCTGACTATAAAGAAGCTGTAAGCAAAGGCTGAAGGTGAAATAGGAGGATTTGACTTTTAGTGCTGTTTTACATGTAACTTACTACATAAGAAACTGCCAGATTTTCTCTAAGATCATATGCCAAAAGCACTTTAACATTCAAGTGGCAAATCATGTGCCCTTAAGAAGATAAAGCAGTGGTGAAGACCAATTTGTTGTTGTTTTACAGCACAAAAATTTTTAAGTACCTTGTTAAGTGGCTTGAAGTAGCTAATCTTAARGAACCATGTTTTTCCTTCTATGCTGATCACCCAAATTTCAACAGAAAACTACTTAATACTAGATAAACACAAGAAGAAACTACTGAAAGAAACTCCAGTAATGAAAAGGAGCTCTAAATAGAGCTTTGARGTATTTAACCTTAATAACATCAACCATCTCAATTAAGTTGATAAAATATTTAACTGCAGAAGTATGGAAAAGTTCACATTTTAGTCTTCTGAGACTAGCCTTCAATGGTTCTGCTTGAAAAAAAAAAAAAAAAGTATTTTCTCTGACCACAAGCATAACACGATCCAAATTTTTGCTAATATCTAAGTAATTTGCATCCATCAAACAGCATGTATTCTAAAACAGATTAACAAGTCGTGTGCCAGGCTACCTACCCAAAACTTAACTGAAAAGTGCACAGATGTTTAAATCCTTGCAGTCTAGCAAAGCCTATGTGCACAATAATATTAGCCTCCTCACACAGGCGTTTAAAGCAAACACATTTCCTGCATTCCACAGTCTTCCAAACAACCCAAAACAACAGAAGCAATCTTGMACGTTTGGCATAATATTATACATGGTCAATAAAACAAAAACAAACGCAATCAGAATTTCCATTCTAGAAGTCCTTGGCAGATTATAAAGACCTTGTTGATTACAAACTCAGAGCCCTGTTATGTGGTGAAAGCATTTTAAACCACGAAGCAAAGGAAGAAGCGGCCACTGAATACAGCGGCTCTCGTGGCTATCCCTCAGGCGGGACAGTGACACCAAGCACTGCTCCGACACCTGGGACTGGAGAACASCGGCACCCCGGGCCTGGGTCACTCGGCGCCCGAGGAGAGCAGGGCACGGACACCGCCAGCCCTTCCCGAGAGGCCGGAACCGCCGCCCCGCCCGCCGCCCGTCCGCCCCCAGCCGGGCGCGGCCTGCCAAGGAGGAAACCCTCCYGGTCTAGGAATGGGAGACGGGGAAAAGGAGAGCGGGAGGCCCGCGGGGAAGCCCATCCCAGCCCCGAGGCGCCGGGGTCCGCCTCACATGGCCCGGCCCTGCCGCCCGCTCTTACCCTCGGCGATGACCCGCTTGATGCGCAGCTTCATATCGCCCATCTCCACCGTCTGCCCCACGAAATCATTTTGGTCGCGGCTGGCGGCCCCGAGGGAACCGGGGCCCGCCAGGAAGTCCAAGGCAGACTGGAAGAGCGACATGGCCCCCGGCAGGCACTGCCCGGCGGCGGCCGGGCGAGCAGGAATGGGAGAGAATTGGACGGGACGGAAAGGGGTGGAAGTAGGGTGGGATGGAGTTGGAGGGCTCCGCCGAGCTACCGACAGCGGCGGCGACAGCCCGCCTGCCTCCTCCGCCTTCCCCTCAGCCGCCCTTCCCTCAGCTCCGGGCGGCTTCCGGGAACGCTGCGTCATTTACGCGCTCCCGGTGCCGCCCGCCGCAGCCGGCCGGGCGCGGCCCCGCCCCGCGGGAGGAGCTCCGCCTCCCGCTCCTGGCCGGTGGCGGGCCGCTGCCGGGGATCGCCTTCCCGCCCTGCCCGCGGCGTTCTGCCCTCAGAAGGGACGCCATTCCCTGGGCAGCGGTGCGTTTCCCCGTGCTAGCACTCAGGTTGGCAGTCGGCGAGAGATAAGCGTTGTGCTGTCTGCCGGCACAGCTGGCGCTTGGGCAGCACCTGCGCTTTTTCCACAGGGCACTCCTGCCGTCCTTTCCCTGTTCGCCTGCCCTCGGGATATTCCACRTGTGTAGCTTTTCTCCGCAGCCCTGAGGGGCCAGCCGCTGCCCACCCACTGCCAGCAGCGGGATGCACCGGCAGAGTGTGGTGGTGGAGTCCTTTCTATGTGCCACACGAATGCTAGGAGTAGCYGTGCCCCTAGAGAGTGTCAGCCTGCCTTGTTAGGGGTAAGGCTCCCTGTGTTTGGCAGATCCCGAAATGGTCAGCCCATTTTTCGGAACAGCAGCTGATTAGAAGCAACGCTTGTCTCCAAACGTGTTGTTTCCGAAATAATACCCATAGTCAGGATTCTCTTTCAGGTCAATCTTTACTGTCTGTACCCTGCCAGCGGGCATCAGACAATTTGAGACGATCCCAGACAAGTCTATGAGACTTCATGTAGCCATGGCTACTTTCTCCTGCACAGTTGACTGGCTAAATTTTTTTAGGTTGGATTTCTCAATCAACTTCCATTAAATAAGAACTTACTGTTTTTCATGCACTGTGCAAATTACAGGGGCATGGCTTCTTGTGATTCCTTCATCGTTCTAATGCTTCATCAGTCAAGAAGTGTGTTCTTAAAGACCAGTAGATTTATATGGAGATCCCATGGTTTTGTATTTTAATTTTTAAAAATATTAAATTATCGAAGATCATAATAGAGAGCTTGCTTGTATCTGTAGCAGAGGCCAGCTTGGTATTTTTCTCTTCCAAGTCTCCGTGTAAGAAAACTTCTTTTGTTACAGTAAATCATACCACTTCTTTGCAGGAAATTCCTACCTGCAGGAGCAGGAGTATCTTACTTCAGTCCTGTTTTGGTTTCTGACTTTTCTGTGTATTTTTGTTCAGGCAAATGCTGGAATTATCTTTTTACAAACTAACACGGCTAGTTAGGCTTGCTGCACCATACTGTTCCACTCACTGTCCTTTGTATCTTCACCTGTATCTTCCCCTTCAAAGACTCATTCATAAAAGGCCACTAGAAAAGGGCAGCAGCTTCTATAAGAACTACAGAAACCATCCTTCTGTCTTTGAAGGTTTTATTTTAGTAGCTTTCCTATTCCCAAATGGAAGACTGCAGTATATGGATGGATTATGAGGACACTACTTCATATCACCTCAGCTTAAATGAAGACTTTTTTTCTGATGCAACTTCATTAACATACTGAGTGATCTGAGCTAAAATGACCTCTTTTGGGTGTTTGAGTTTATGTGGGTTTTTTTTTGCTAACCAGCTTTAATGCCTTGCTAAAATTCCCTGACTTTTCATTATTAAGCCTCACATTTATCTCAGTGCAGAAGTGATGTCCCAAAGCCAGAAGAAAAATCTGAGGATGACAAGGCAGCAGGACTGTATTTCTTTCAAAGGCAGCATGCCTCATTGAAATGCCATTAAATGTATTGTCTGAGAACCCTGATTCTCTATCAATGTGTACATTTTTAATGTATAAAAATTAGCAAATAAAATTCAATCGATGAAAACTGATTATATTTTAAATTTCATGGATTTACTACTTATGCAAGAGATTTGACTATTGAGAGAAAGGCTCTTGGCACAACTAATCAAAATCCCAGTCCAAAAATTATATTCAGGTAGGCCTCAAGTGGGAGGTTTGATGCATAAAGCTCAACCAATTGCTGCTTGTGATAGCTCAGATAGGTCTGTCACAGCTTGCAGTGGGAGCTTGTCCACAGAAAGATAGTAGGAGTAGTAACTACCTCATACACATGAAAGAAGTGTAAGAAAAAATGTAGGATAGTAGGAACTACTATCTGATTTTTGAAAAAACCAGAATTTGACACTGCAACTGCTGCAGGTGAGATAGGAGAGCCTTGATATGAATGCAGCTTTCCTGGATTAAAAACATTTAAAAGAATATTGGGCAAGATTTTATTGACCTGTGGTTTTCAGTATCCAGGACCATACTGGAGAGGTCAAGCAGATCATCCAGTGAAATGCAGTTTAATATGTGTGCAGCTGGCTAGAAGGTTCTGCACTGGTGGGGGCTGACCTTTTCATTTATTGCTGAGGCAAAAGTGTGGTAAAATGTTCCAGTTTTCAAAAAATACTTGGTCAGAAAAAAGTATTGTATTATTTTTATTTATGCAGCTTGAGAGGCCTATGGATTTTTTAAAATTTGCTAAGGGCAGCAAGGCTTATCCATTTACAGGCTGGTACACTTCCTGCTGAAAAGCAGAGGAAAGCAAGGTTGTGCCATCTGTTACTAGTTTACATCCCAGTACTGATGACCACACTGGACTGCAGGAGGATGCTTGAGCCCCTGATTAAAAGGCGCTGCTCCAGCCTTCATATTTCAATACTCATGTAGTCCTCTTTCTTCTACAGCTTCACCCAGAATGTGGCATGAATCATTCCGGCCAAAAATCTTGAGTGGGGAAGGTGGTAAAGAAGGGATTTCTTCTTGTGTCATAAGATCAAGGCAGGACAGAATCATAAACTGGGGAATTATTAAATTAAAAGTTTATTTTGTCTATTAGCATGTAGTAAAGATAGCACTTTAATTTTCATTCCAGTAATTGTTTTCAGCTTCTTAGGGAATAAATTAATTAAATAGGAATGAATTTGCATTCTACTTTGTATTCTCTACATAGCATTTAATCAAAATATAACTAGAAAAATGGCACACATAATAATGTCTCCACAGGTCTAGATAGGTTCATTAGGTTCAGCACAGCTGAAAATCTATTTCAGAAGTACATCTCAGAAGGAAGATTAAATACTTCTTCATTATTTGTACTTTTTACTGCAACTGCTTTTATGATGTACTCCAAAAGAATGAGTCATAAAGCTAATCCTCACACAAAGCAAACAGAAGAGGCTTGACCATTCTTAATTTAATATCTTCAAGTTATATGCAGAGACCCTCCATGCCTTCTGAGATCAGAAATACACCAAAAGCACTTCAGTCCAGTCATTTTCTTTTGTAATTGGCTAATCTAGGTCTGAGTGAAACTAAGACCTGTTGAAACATTTGGGTTTAATTCTGCCTCACACAATCCAGCAAGAATCAGCACTTCCGGGGGAAGTGAACGGCCAATAGTACCTTTTTGTTACACCCAAGTAATATTGTGCAGTACAAAGTTTATTCATGTGGCTTTTTGTATTAGCTGAGTATCTACTACTCAGTCTGCTACTTTGAATGAAGTTGCAAAATACAGTGCATAAACTGTTGTGTTCTTCTGATGTGCATTTTTTTTTCTGATGCAGATTATCACCTGCTGTATGTTCAGAGATTTTTATAATATATTCTAGCCCCATGCTTCAAATAAGAGTCTGTTAATTTAATATTAAAATAGCAAGGTTTATAAAGCAATAGTTGAATCATTTGGAAATAAAGAGATTTCAATTGATCTCCGTATGTATGTATGTATAATTTAGCTAAATTTTAGCTACATTCTAATTTAGCTAAATTATCAGTAATAACTGACATCTCAATGCTTATGTCTGATTTGGGAATCCTTTCTTTATAGTTGAGATTCTAGTTTAAGCTATTAATTCCTAGAATGATAATAGGAAAATATGCCAATCACTTTTTTAAAAAAGCACTTCACTGGTTTGTGGAGCAATAGTTTTATCTCTAACTTTGGATTAGACACTACACACTTAGCAGAGGTATTTTTGTCTGTTGGCTTCCAACAAGGCATATATCTTTTTGTTCTTCTTAAGGAAAATTTTATATAGGGCAAATGAGCTACATTATAAAAATAAAATTGGTTTACTGCTTATTAGAAAACTCAGTGAAATCTGTAGACACAGTCTCTGGAGATTGAATGTACACTGTAGCTGCTCCAGTCTGTAGTTAGGGATTTCTTCTGCAGTTGGTGCTTCTGGCTGCTTTGAAACACCAAACAATGACAAGAGAAAGGAAGATTTTGAGTCTGTCCAATTCATTGAAGAAAAGATCTTTAACTTTGAAGCCACAAAGCAGGGTGAAAGAAGTGTTGCAGGAATGTGTTCTTACCATCTGAAATACATTGCAGATTTTTTGGGTGGTGTTGCTTTTCTTGTTTGTTTGATGATATGCTGTGATTAACAGGCACCTCCATTGAAAAAATAATTTCCTTAATAAATTCAACAAAAGACTTTTTATCAAATAAAATAGCTCTTCTTCTGTGAGAACCAAAGCATCACTATTTCACTTTGTAAGGGTGAAGTATTATGCCACGAAAACTGATATTAGCTGTAATTAAGACAGCTGTAAATTTGAGACTATATACCCATTTACTGAACTCTCTTTCAAAAGGTCATTATAGTCATTTTACTATGTAGTGTTCTCTGCAACCCCTTGCCATTTAAACTTTGTGCCCCCATATTAATAAAAATGGAAGTTTTTCTTACATTTCAGAATTAGCGAGCTATATTACTATTTCTTAGGCAATACCAATTTGAAAAAATTTTAATAAATTTTAATAAATTTATTTTAATGCTATGCTTTATGCGTATATGGCCCTATGCAAACTAAACTGGATTATGTTCCGGCTATCATAGGGTCCAAGTCCTGTGATAAAAAGGAAAACTTGTCATTAAATAAAAAACTGCAAAAAATGCCCACAAAACAATTGGAGAAATTAATTTTGTTTTATTATGGAAGAAAAAAGGGCCTCATGTATAGGTCACAAGGACTGATTGCAGCACTACTCTGCTAGATCAGGTTAACTTTACCAGGACAGGTGCGGTGCAAGGATAGATGTACACTGACCTCACGTCAGCTCTGGTATATCAAAGGAGCAGTGGACTGATCAGACTTTTTATGAAAGCAGGAAGCTTTTTAAGACTTGCTTGAGACTAATGATACAATCAGTTGCTTGCATTTGGTTGGACTTACTACTGAAGCCTTTATCTTTCTGTTAAGAGGGGTGAGGTAGCCATATTTCTTAGTTGTCTATTAAAATTTCCTGGTCTTAGAGTAGTTCTAGCATTCCAACATTCTGTCTTAGTTACCAATTTAATAATAAATTTGCTTTTCAGAATTGCTATTTTTGATATTCAAGCATTTTCATCCTCTCTAGTACTTGAAGAGAAAATACATGATTTTGAATGTTCCCTCTCCATTTTATGCATTCAGACAGAAAAGCAAAAGGAAAGTCATGTCCTTTGAGTGTTTTTCACATTTTTTTTACATTTCAGAAGTGGAGAAATTAAACTTTATTCAAAAGTTATACAACCAATTCCAATTTATGCAGACATGGAAAAATCAATTTTGAGAGAATAGTTATAAATGAATAAAAGAGTTACAACATGGAAGTTCATCCATTTCCACAGATATGTCTACAAAACTATAAAGTTAAAAGGAAACAAATAACACTACCTTAATGCTTGGTATTTCTAAAGTTGCAGTGATCAATATTCAGAAATGGGTATTTTTACTAATTTGTTTAAACTTAACTAAAGCTGTAGTCATGGAAGTTCTGGCCCAAATAATTATGGCAATTTGTGCTATTTCTACTCTCCTCTCACAGGTAGCGCTTTAAGTTACCTCACCAATTTCATCCATGCAATACAAAGTTAATTGAATAAGCAATAATACACTTCCATGGCAGAATAGGAATGGCATCAATATGCACAACCATCCTAATGTCAGATCATAATCAAAGGCCTAAGTTATTTTATTCGCATGTTACCAAAGACAAAGCTGAATACTGTCTTATAGCAGCATGCATGAAAAGGGTAAGGACACCTTGAAAGTTAGAAATAAAATACAAATAATTTTCAGGATATCTATTAACTACAGAATGTCATTTTTAAAAGAGTAGATTTAGTCTTTGCTTCAACTGCTTCAAATTTTACTTGATTATTAAACCACATGTCAATAACATAAAACATTTTGAAAAGCTTAGAACACAAGCTTTTTCGGTATTTCCCATGTAAATTCTTCTCTTCCAAAGTGTCCATAGCATGCTGTTTTTTGATAGATTGGCTTCTTCAAATCCAGCTCCCTAAATGAAAATTAAAGAACAGTCTTACACTCTACTCCAATGTGTATTTTGATCTAGACATCCGAGAGATAATCAGTATCATTCCCAGAAGACAATAAAACCTAGGTATTGTTTCATTCCCCACACAGATTTACAGAAGGAAAAATAGTGAGTTCATAATTTAAATTTTTAAGTGTCTATAAATAGCCAGGTTTCCTCCAATGCCTAAGAGATACAGTAAGTATGCAGTTAGTCTTTATAAACATTACAGTCCAGAAGCATTTTAAACAGAAAAAAGTTCAGCTATGTGTGGGCAAGTATCAGTGTGTTTTCTGTTATTTCAAGTGTCATACAGAATATTTTATAATGTTGCTCTGGCAGAAAGATATTTATCTCAAAAGAAGCTGCCAAAGATGGCAAAGATCTAGTAACCTAAATAACTATGGATGTTTAACTGCTTGTGTAGACGCACAAAGTTACTATTTAGCTTAATATGACATGATTATGATCAGATAAATCATAATGCAGGTGCAAGTCATGCTTATTGGCTTTTAGCCTGCATAATATGGTGGATTGCAGATGTGCTAATGGTCAGCTAGTGGTATCTAAATAGAAGATTCTCTTCATTTCGTGAAAGATTTGAAACGTTTTCATCTCCTTGGGCATATGACATGACATGACAGCATCAGAGCCTTTCCATCTTCTGGCAGCTATCTCATAAGCTGTTGGCACCGGAATATCAAAGGCACAGAGACCATACTTAGCCCAATAATTATTTCAGAAGGAGCCAGTATTTTTGTTGCCCTTCAGATAAGGCAGAGATTTGCAGCCTTACATACCCTGTAAACAGACTGGAAAGCCTAGCTAAGTCTAATGTTAACCTTTTAGTCTGCTTCACCAAGCACAATACCACCTGGCTAATGAATTGCAACAAAGCTCACCACCAGAGTTACAGATGGATTTACATGGTGTAATTTCAGCAGGTTTTAGTTATTCATTGCATTTTGTGATCAGATTTATCAAATTGGCTCTTGTGTGTTGTACTGGGCACACGGATGAGGGAAGAGCGGAAATAATATCAATTAGAGATTTATGATGAAGGTGACTTTCTTGAGGTTAGAAGCCAGATAATTAAATTGTTAAAGAGAGCATTAACAATATGATTCCATGAAGTAAATACTAACATCACACAAACCTTATAATAGCTCCAAGGCGTAGATCAAAGTTTTTCTGGACAATTTCAAGCAGTTCTTCTTCAGATCTGTCTGATGTTCCATAATGAAACACCGAGATGGCAAGAGGGTGGCTGAGACCAATAGCGTATGATAGCTGTAGAACACAAGCACATAACCCACATATAGTGGGTTATATATATACAGTCCTTCCTGATTCTTGCTTAAGAGAAAGGCTTGCCATATGTATCAGGGTACAGTTTATTAACATCCTATTTTCATAAAGAAAGTTAGGAGATATCTTTTTGCTATTTTTCTTTCCTTTTAGAAAATTATGTTTTCTTCAGGGTATATTCAGGCTGGTCAAATATCAGACATAGGTGACATTCCTTTAAAGCAAAAGAGGTACTTTCTGTCCTCATCTACTGCCATTCTTAATCCTTTAGTTTCAGCTAGACACAAGGATTTCATGCCTTTGAGACTGGAGACTGAATTCTAGAAGTTTTGTGTTTTAGTTTTGGTCTTATTTTTCTCTGAGGCAGAGAAAATATCATCTAGGACAAGATGAAGAAAAGCTCCATGTTCCTAAAGCACTCTCAGAGTATTTTCCCCAGAGCAAGTTACTTCCATGCCCTCCCTAGAACTTCATGCAATATTGCCACGTACTTTTAAAACACAGCCATCAGAAGCAAAGTAACCCAAGAAGTATAGTCCAACATCTCATTTCTGTCATACCACAAGAATCACCACAGTGCAGCACTGACAGACTCACCTGAAATGTATTTTCTTTTCTCATTCAGTCCCCTTTCCAAAATACAGCCCCACTGCAGTACAGGTTGACATATACTTCATTTTCTTGCGGTTAATTTGGATGAAAATATGTTTTGACTGAATGTCACCAATCAATGCAAACCATTCTGTGCCTTTCACTGGTCTTCCTCATTGTGTCTGCTTTCTACAGATTTCAAGAACAGTCCAGTGGCTCAGTTCTGCCTACATGCATCTTAGTAAACAAGAACTGGGTTTTTTTTCAGAAACTGTCCTAATCATGACTATCTTCCCCTTAGCTAATTATGAGATTATGATGTCTGTTTGCCATTAACCAATAAGGTGACAACTCTACTTAACACTAAATAATATTGTGTTAATATACAGCTAATTAGACTGAAGTTACCTTTGTTGGCCATTTTTTTCTTTCCTTGTGAGAGATGATTAGCATGGAAACAATATCCATAGGAAAGCCAGCTCAAATTGTCAGCTTCAGTGAAGGCTGAGAAGATCTCTGCGTAGCACACTGACATTAATGGGCTGAAATCACTTTTGTGTTTCCACTGGATAGTTTTTCCTTTTGTTAATCTTTAATCCAGCCCTTGAAGACTTCAAAGGATATTCGCTTTTCAAGTCTCCTATCTTTCCATCTTACCTTCTTATCTGAGATCTCCATAATTTGCTGTTAAAAAGATTAGTCTTGCCTTGTCTAGAGATAGGTTAAGGTATTTAAGGAGGGTCTGTGAGAATTACTGGAATAACAACATTCCCATCTGACTAAAAATAAGTGATGTAAATGTTCAAAAATGACACTTACAATGTGCATACCAAGCAATCAGAAATTTCTCTTCTTTCTCCTCAGAACTCCTTGTTCCAGGACCTGGCCTGTATCTTTGGCTTCCTCATAAGAGAAAACTAAAAATTCCTGGAGCCCCATTCTACTATAAGAAATTTTTTTCTGCAGCTGGAGTGCAGTTGTGATGGTAGTACATGCTCTGAGACAGAATTTCTGTTTTGGAATTTGGTGTATTATTTTTATGGTTATTCTTACCTGGATCAATACCCTTTTACAGAGACCAGCTTTCACCAGAGATTTTGCAATCCAGCGAGCTGCATATGCTGCAGAACGATCAACTTTGGAGGGATCTTTTCCAGAGAATGCACCTCCACCATGGGCTCCCCAGCCTCCATATGTATCAACAATGATCTTCCGGCCAGTCAGTCCAGCATCAGTCTGAAGAACAAATAAAAATACTCACCAGACACAATAGCTCATCCAATCCCATACTAGGTTATGGAGTACTGCTTTCTTTATTATTTGTCACATATATGACTCTGTTCTTAGTGGTCACATTCCCATGCAACTGCTTAATGAAAGAGTTTTCTGTGTGTTTGGAGTATATTTCAGAAATGTACAAAGCTGCCTGTGCTGCACTTTTCAAAACCTTTAACAATGCAGCACAACTGCAAACACAATAAAAAGAATGCTCCCTTCAAATAAGCAATTGTGAAGTACTGTCTCTGAGTTATTGGTCAAAGTCTTCACTCAGTAACACATTTAAGGCAAGAATTTAGAGACAAAAAAACAGATCACACATGACCTAAAAGGCTAACAAGCTTCACTTAGATACACAACATTAAATGGGAATCAGGGTCTTCATGGAACTGCAGCTCAATGTTGTGAGCACAAGAGTACTGAGAAATTCCTGCCCGGTTCACACTAATGGTTCAGTAGTGATACAAGCGATAGTGCATGTCTTCCTTCTTCCTTCCCTCCTGCGCCCCTGATAATGGTCTCAAACTCTTGTATAGATTTTTGTCTGCCTYCTACAACTCTGTGATCTGAACCAACTTACTCAGCCAGGAGAGAATTACTGTCTCTGTCAGATTAGTAAAGCTAGCAACTACATGCTGATAAATGAACTCGAGTGCTGAGAAATTCCATCCTGAAAGAGGATAAATGGCATTAATCCCACTATTTGTAAATCTTAAAATAAGAAATGTGGGAGCAAAGCCAACATTTATTTCTCAATGAAGAAGTGGTATCCCCATGGTAACTCAATGAAAGTTGTATCCCCACATCATCCCAGTGTGATCAAAAAAACCTTGTCGTTTTAATCCTTGTGAACTATTTACACGAACTAGACAGTTTTATGTAACGTAACTTTCTACTATTACATAGCAATGGTCTTCTTAYCTAATGCCAACCTAGAAAGCCGAACATATGTCAAATTCTAATGACTATTGATACTTAATATGTTTGTCTCCCTTGAAATTTGTTCAGCTTTATGAGTAGTTTCAGTGTAGCTATCAGATCGATTSTTATTTCTGGTTTTGACTTTTATTATGGAAATGAAGAGACACTTCCAGCCAGGCATTTTAGCACCGAACTTAAGAATAGGCTTTTGATCATTTAAAATACTTTCTGGAAGCAAGACAAAGATCCAGGAATCCTTACATGTGGCTGCCCAAGCAGGTATAGCTTCAGTTTAAATGACAGCTGTCCAGTAGGATAGCTCCAGCAGAAATGACTGAAGSTTCCTTAAAAATGGAAAGACTTTCTGGTTAAAGGTATACCAGCGCATTGCACTATTGTTCAAGAGAACATTTACTAGCATTACTACCACTTCCACTAGTGTTGAAGTGGAATCCAAGTCTGCAAAGGTTGTTGTGTTTCAAAATACCGTACCTTAGGACCACCTTCTACAAACTTTTCACTTGGAAGGAGATGATAAATGGTGTTCTCATCAAGATACCTCTCTGGAACAACTTTTTTAACAACTTTCTCCATCAGTTCATTCCGTATTTGTTGTAGCGGTACATCTGGCGCATGATTTACTGAAATCACAAGTGTGTGCACTCGGATGGGCWCCAGTGCACCATTACACTCCTTGTATTCCATTGTGACCTAATGAGGGAAGAAAAAGAGGATGATGAACTCTCAGGGCCAAAAACACTGGTCTGAAAGCTGAAAATGAATCTCACAGTTATTTTCTGCAGCTAAAAATAAACAGATGAAGAGAAATGGTATGAAAACTAATGGATAGTTGTCAATTCATAAACCCACTGTAAGAAAAAAAAAAGTACTGAAGTACCACTACCAAGAGGGTTAACAATATGTATTGCCACAGAGAAGCAAAATAACAAGAAAGCTACAAAATCCTTTGATTTTAGCAGCTGATGCATTAACATAAGTTCCAATTGTGGATTAGCAAAGTAAAGCCAAAATAAATTTTGGAGAACCCTGCTAAAATTAACAACTGTTGATAACATGATAGGCTGTATCCTTTGCTCCCTTCTGCATGGCTTTTATGCACATGCAAGTATAAACTAGCACTGCTCCATCCTTAGTATCTGTTTTCTTACAGACTAAAGCGGYCTCTCTACTTTTCTGCTTTTCAAACATGCTTGAATAGATACATCACAAAGAAATCAGCCTGTTCACATGTCCTATACACTGCTGACAAGAGGAAGGGACACAATCCATTGTGTTGTACTGCCATAACAGCAGCACTATAACTCAATGCGGTTGGCCCAGACTAAATATAAGAAACTTAGACTAAAACACTTTGCTTTACTGGAAATGCCATGTGTATGTTTTTCCTTTCCTGTCCTGCTGGTTTCACAGCCCAGAAACCAGAGAAGTTACTGTCTTTGAGACAGCCAAAGTGCATCACTCTTACAGTAGGCTCAGTGACTCATCCACTGAGTTCTGCAATACAGYTCTCAGCAGCTGATACTTATTCAGAAAAAGCCCAAACCTGATTGTTGATAATTTGTTAATGTTCCTTATCTCCAAGGAAAAATAAGGAAAATACAACTATTGTTTTCAAGAAACCTCCTGATACACTAATAGAACAGTTTGAACAAACCATATTGCTATACACAAATGTACCTTATGAAACCCACAMCACCTTGGAACATGAGAATGACAGCACCATTTTAGACAAACATAAATTCTAAAGTGGTAGCAGACAAGGTAAATGATTTCTGTTGTTTCTCACCCCTGTTACAAACCTGTGTTTTTCCATCTGGTCTAACCCAGGGCCATGTTCCATTCCGTTCCAGAGCCTTTATGCTTGCAGTCAGTTTGTGTGCCAGGAGGAGAGTTAAGGGCATACATTCCTCAGTTTCATCAGTGGCATAGCCAAACATCAAACCCTGCATTGAAAATAGGGAAATTACATTGAAAAATGGGGAATTAAGCCACACATTTTCATGTTGTCCTTCTATTTCTGCACCAGTCTTTGCCTCACAGTACTTTAAAATCACCCAAGCTTAGCAAGGGAGAGCAGTAACATGCAGAATTTTTACCCTCAACATACATCCAGTCTGAAAAAAACATAGAAGACATTTACATACAAGAATCACAGCCATAGCAGGGGCTGATTCCCAAGAACATCTCTGCCTTATGCATCTCTTAAGAACCTTCTGCAAATGCTTCATAAACATAAAGCTCATAAAGACTGCTCAGTCTTCTTCCCACACATGGCAGAAGTTATTGCCAGGCTAAAGGACTTGAAAGATCAGAAACTTACCAACTGACAACAAAAACCTTAATTGTAGCTCTATCCTGTCAAAGCCACATTCCTTGAAACTGATGGGAAATATGGGAAAGSCACATTCCTTGAAACTGATGAAGGCTGTGATATATTTTCACATTTCTGGTGATTAAGAAAGTGCCCAGTGCTCAGCTGCTGATTCTTGCAATTTGCACAATAGCTTTCAAGGACAGTCGCTAGTCCATTGTAATTGTAGCTGCTTGTGCTTAAACTCKATTTGAGTAAGTACCTGGAATTACCTGATCCCCTGCTCCAATGTCACCATCAGTCTTGCCATGGGAAATAGCCTGCTTGATTTCTTTACACTGTTGTTCAAGGGCCACTAAAACTGTGCAAGTCTTGTAGTCCAGTCCTAGGGAAAGGAGTTTTGTAGAATTAGTTAATACAAAATTCACAAATTGCTAGAGAAGTTTTTTAAGGATTATCTAGTTATCTTGGCCGAAAGTTTTCAAATTCTAAGTATGTAAGCTTCCTACACTACTTTTTTATTGCTAACAGAAGCAGACAATCAGCATATTTATTTAACGATTCTAGGATGTGGGTAGGTTAGTGCTATTAGTTARGTCAGACTTGAATTATTGAAACTTACAGAATAAGTATAATTTTAAAAGCTATCCCACCAAAGCTTGTTACGCTTATTGTGATATTGTTTATTATGACACTGCTTATTTTGACTAGGGTTCAAGTAATTTGGGTACTAAACCTGAGAGAGGAGTTACCAGAAACTGGTATTCAGTTTTTCTTGTAGTATGTTCTAGGATTCAGTTGAATTAGAGTAAAAAAGTTGTTGTGGTGTGAACCCTGGCCAAACGCCAAGGCACCCACAACRCTTCCCTGCCACCCCCAGGAGAGGTAGAAGRGAGAGCAAAACCCCTAATTAACCCAAAGATTTATGGCTTTTAGGTAAGATAAGGGATTGAGAGAGATTTCACACTCCATGATGAATGAAAAGGCTGGAACTTAAGTTGTAAAATAGATTTATTACTAAAACTACTAAGAGTACCACACGGAAAGGGAAGAAAAAAATTAACCCAAAGTAAGGGGGAAGGACCACAAGGAGAAAAATGAACCATTAAGACACCGTTCTCTTACTCCCCTCCCCATCCCTCCTGCCTTCCCAGCTCAGGGGAGCAGGGTGTGGGACCCTTCTGGCCAGTTCATCACCACAGCTCTATTTCAATAGCTCAAGAGGGGTCCTCCTTTTGCTCTGTATCACTGTGGTGATCTTCCCAGGAGCAGCCAGTCTGCCAAACTGCTGATGGCGTGGGATTCCTTGTCCACAGGAAGGGAAGCAGTCCTTCCCAGGCCAGGCTGCCTTCATTCTGGGGGCAAGGCCATTCTCTCAAATCTCCTGGCAGAACACAGTTTCTTCTAGACATCCACTTGCTCCAAGTGGGGTGGGGGGCACCTCTCCCCCCTGGGCTATGGTCAGTTCAGCCTTCCAAGGCCAGGTTTTTTATCTCAGGTGCAGGGCCTCTCTCTCTACGGGTGTCCCACTGAAGACAGTCCCCTCGGGAACAGCCTGCTCCCCCATGGTGTGGTCAGCACACGGCATGCAAAGCACCTTCTCCCCCTCCTTCTCCACTTTGGAGTCTCCATTTATTTTTTACATCTCCTCACTTCGCCCCACCTCTGGCTAAGAGCTAATGGCAGCTGCAAACTAACTTGTTTTGAATTCTTTGTAAATACAAAACCACATGGCATCATAGGTGTAACTGGCATCTCCAATTGGCCCACGTTTGGCCAGCAGCCTGTCCATCACCCTCAGAGCCATCAGAGATTGGCCCTAAAACACACAGGGGCAGGACATGATAAAGAAGACTTCCAGAAYCTTCTCATAGGAGCCATTTTTTGTGGTTTTCCCCCACCACTAAAACCGGACCTAGCAAAACCACCACAAAAGTATATATAATGCACAAAAAGGGAACACTGAAGGGGAGTAAACATGTAAGTGGTACAACTGCTGAAAAGAAACTCCTTCGGGATACATGTTAAGAATATGTGAGGAATTCCCCTGATATGAAATTCCAGTGTCACAGGCTTATGCACCACAAGGACAAGGAACACCACTGTTAAAGTTCTCATTGTACAAACCTATAGATGCACAGATTATACACCTTCTAACATTTGTCCAAACACTCACTTTTCTGCATCAGAGAAGAAAGAGATATCTGCCTCTTTCAAGAACAAGTAGTTTACAAGTATGCCATCTTAAAATAGCTCTTTCAATACCAGGCAGTGAACAATACATACTGACAACAGCAGTGAGTCTTCTCCCAGGCCTAGATAGACACTTCCTTTTATTCTTCAGAAGACTATAAACACGTGTACAATCTCATTAGCGAATCCCAGTTCTTAATGAATGGCCCATACTGGGCTTGAAACAACTATCAATATTATTGATTATTATTGGGCCCCATGCATCTCACTCACCTTTGGAAGAGTCATCATATCCTATCCTCTTAAGAGTTTCTCTCACAATTTGTTGATAATCTACTATGGCCTGGGATGTGATCTCTCCACAAAGCAAAATCATTCCAGTTTTTGCCACACACTCTGGAGAAAATATGTCAGTAAAATGTCAGAATTTTATTTACAGTATTTTACAGTTACACAGAGAGACCCTGAAGATGGTTCTATGAACAAAGGATTGATCATTGGGAAAATTCAGTGTAAAGCCTTAGCACACATAAGGGTCTCTGTGCAACCACTCTTCAGCCGATATGAACATTTAAAAGCCTGCGTGTGGTGGGGGCCCATCACAGCCAATTATCCTACTTCACATTGGCTAGAAGCAAATGTTTGTAAGAGCAAACCAAATATGTAGGGCTGTTCCTCTGAATACAAGAAATTCAGTTCAGTGTTTTCCTGAAGCCAAAGGAACACCATTTATTAACAGATGGTATCACCAGTCTTTGATATATTTTTATTACAATAATTCACCTGGTCGTCCTTGRCAACCACAAAAACTTAAAGCTTCTACAAGATCCTGAAGCAAGAAGCTATGCAATTTCATTAGAAATTTTGTGTAGAAACACTTAACAYTTTATTCTGTTGTTTGTTCCAAGAGCCCATCTAGTCTCCAGACTTTTCTGTTTTACATAGAACATATATAGCAGACAATCACAAAAAAAAAATGTACTACAATATGATCCACTAGGTCTTTGTGATCATGCCACACCTCAGAATTCTACCTTGGTAAGACAAACTCTTAACACACTCTTCCCCTGGCATTTTTGCAGCATTCCTCTGTTACCATCTTCAACTTTTCAGTAGTTTTGGAAGCATAACTGCATGCAGTATTGAAATACATGCTTCATCAAGTCTAACACATATCCTAAACCCTCCCCTCACAATTCACTGCTCACATCTGTGCATCAAGGATCACATGAGATATTTCAGAARAAAAATATTAGAACATTGGGTTTATAAGATGCATCTAGTCCTCTGTGCTGTAACTATGGCCTTGGTGGCTTGTTCTAGAAATAAAATTACTGCATTTGGAAAGCTCTTTAGGTACATTCCCTTTCTGTGTCCATTTTTCTGTGGCAACCTAGGTCATTCCAATTTGATAACATGTCCATAGCCTCTGTTGGTGATATTGCTATTGACAACATCCATGCATAGTCCTAATGGATAATTACACAAAAAAGCAAGGCACTTGGATCAGAATGACATTCAAATGAACTTACCTTCCTGTGAACAAAGGGCACGGCCCTAATCACTCTGTGAAGACATGAATTTTGATATATATCTTTCCATACTTCTCTTTTTCCCCTGATTTTCTTAGATTTCTCATTATTATCCACTCTGACACTCCCAGTTTTCCCACTAGCTTCTCTTGTTATACTTCTTGCATTTCATTATTTTAAATTTGCTCTGTAGTACTATGTATTTTCTTTATTCTGTTTCTTTTTTACAGCTTTTTTCATGCTTTTCCTCCTCTTCTGAATCAGAGTGCCATAGTTGACCTCTTTACTGACTATGATAGTCTTGACTGGCAGCCAGCTACTGGRGGAATTTTGGGAAACAGAAAACATGATTACATGTTTCATTAATCTGGTTTTTCATCTGTATTGTACTTACCACAGGCAACCTTGGCATCTGGATCAATACTGAGATGAGCATCTAGAACAGCATCACTTATCTGATCACATAACTTATCTAGAAGACAAAAATAAGACACACATTTCTTTTTTGTGATTAAAAAATTTGGATTTCTTAATAAAATGTAATTTCCAGTGGGCAAAAGACTTTTGGTTTTAGGGCATCTGCCAAGAGGTAATTGTATCAACTTACATCCTGAAAGATATGTCTTACCCTGTTTTCACTTCTCCCCTCAAGTCAGTTCCGACATTTTATTATTACCTGCATAGGCCAGCAACCTCCCTGGTAAGGGGGYAATGAAAAATGCTTGCAAAGACATCTGAAATAATCAATATAATTTCAGGATAATAGAATACTCACGTAGTAATTTTGGAAGAMGTATTTAAGCTAAGACCTTTCTGTAATTCTTGTCCTCTTTTATTTTAAACTTTGTATTGCATTTTCTGTGTGGATTACCTATTTTGATCCACATTTTACAACTTCTGGAAGTGTTTACCCATTCAGTACCTGCCGTGTGCACCTCTGAAATCTCACGTATCAATTTTTTTGGATGACAAGAGGCATTGCTGTCCTTACAAAAGGRACATGTCCTTACACTATATTGAAGTCCTCTCCTGCAATTACGCACTGCTATCTGGCTCATTCAGGCTCAGGAAAGCTTCTGAAACATTCTCTCAGGGTCATGCATTGGCCCCTCACAAGTTTTTACAGTTATATTTCTGAAGTGTTGGCCTTTCTGTTTCAGGGAAAAAAAGCACTGGAAAAAAGGTTTTACTTATACCATCTTTAGCCTCTTTGACTTCTTGTTCACCTAAGACCTGAGCATGACAAATGCATTTATTCAAAGTTAATGAAMAATTTAGGGGAAGAATTGGGATTATCTCGTCAGGATAACTAAACCAGATGAAAGCAATCCATGTTAATACTTCAAAACAACACATTTGAGAGGTAGCATATCTGCAGAACCAACAAAAAATATATTAATTAAGTTTCACCCACCATCATCACAAAAGAGAGCCATCCAAAATATGTTCAGCCACACAGATACACTGCTCGGTCTACAAGATCATCTGTGTTAGTGAGCCAGGTGCCCATATAGTTTTTAACAGTTTATGAAATTGTACATGTAATCACCAATTAAAAGTAACATCTTTTGAGGGCCCATGGAGAAAATTAATGAAGAAGCATAACTGAATGTCCACCTTAAACTACCTATTTACTTTTACACATAATCTGTTCTGGAAGTACACAAACATCAGAATGAAATTATAAGGTGAGAGTAGAATTATTCTGTACATCAAAAGATCTGTATTTCAATGCAGAGTTTAAGTACAAATTGAAYTTTAGTATGAGAACAGTAATTATCTTTTGTTACAATCTAAAAGCAAAGAAAAGTGAGAAGTGCTAGCATGTAGCTTTGAATAGATGAACCATTGTGCCATCAACACCACCATACTCAAATACAAACTATAACCAAAAGCAAAGCAGAAGTGCTAAATAWGCATGTTTGCCTTTTATTGAAATAGGCGAACAGTGATCTCAATGTCTTCATAAGATTTTCTTATGGAAATGCACAGGTTGTTACTTCACTGGCATAATTTTCACAACATGAATCAGTTGTTTCTCTATTTTTTACATCCTATTTCTAGCATTTTCCCCAAACAAGCTAAAGCTAAACATTTAACTGCACTTCTTAATCATTTGCAAAGTCCAACCATCTAGAGGCTTGGAAAAAAARSMAAAAAAAMCACCATCTTAGAAAGTGTAAAACCTGCCTTCAGATATTTGTGTTATTTTGAATTATTTCCCAGCTTAAGCATTATCTGCTTGAAATTTTTGCAAGCACAGCTATTCAAAGATTAAGAATCCTGATCTGTTCTGCAAGTTACATTTCACCTTCACTGATAAAAAATGACCTTTGATTGAAGACACGAGGACGTAAGATGAAAGGCAGAAACAACATGCAGTCATAAACTCAGACCCAGAAGCCATCGGTGCAAGCATAAAATCAGAAATGCCACATCACCTGACTAGTTTGATACCCCGAAGTAAACTAAGTTCTGAAGATTGAGATACTGATTCACACCAAAAGGTCCAAGGCTCCAAGCAGGAATGGCATAACCTTTAACATCTGACAAGTTTTACTGCCTGTGTGCATCATTACTCGCAGCACACCGTTTTACATAAACAAGTGGTTGTTCAAGAAATGGTGACACATGCTGCAGTGGGCTCACTTAACATTAAAATGCTCAGTTTCAAGTACTACCTTCACTGTAAATTTGAGTCATTACCATGTGCATTGGAAGTCCAAATTTCCCCCAGTGCCTCTAGATAAATAATTGTGTAAACAAAGCTGTATGAAAAATAGCTGAGCAATTAGAGCTGAAGTGTTGTCTTGTAGTTCAAGACCTGGAAAATACAATGGTTTTGTACATCCTACACTTGTTGTAAATTTCTGTCAGCAAAAACAATGTGAGAAATACATATATGCAGATCTATAGCAGTGTTTGGAATTAGCTCTGATGCAAATTAATGTTTAATATTCCAATTTCAGAGAATCAAAGTTCAAAGATCACCTAAAATACAAATGTGCACGATGTACTGTTTTTTTCATTACAGAATAAAAAATGAAATTACAATTCTAGTACACATGACAGCTCCACATCTACTTGTAGACCTACCCATGCTTTACTCAAGCAAATGTTTAAAGTTGCCTAGACAGATTATATTGCTAAACAAATAAGACAAATCCTAGGCAAGCAAACAAAAACACTAATGCAAAGTCTATTAAAAAATATTAATTTGTTTTTCCTTTTCTCTTTGGAGGAGATATGACTAAATTTTCATCAGATAGCATTTTTCCATGTGAGTATCAATGAAAGATAAGATACAATCAGCATTTTTACTTACCAGAATGTCCTTCAGCAACAGATTCTGAAGTAAAAAGAAATCGTTTTTCTTGTTTTGACATGTTTTTATATCTTTAGCAGGCTTGCAAGCAAGAAAGAAGAAATACAACTGGACTACAGAAGGAGCACATGTAGAAGGTGAAGTGGAAAGGTTAATGTCTTTATGCAAATAGGTTATGTCATTGCTCCTCCCTGCTTGTTCCCCAGAGGTCCAATAGGTAAAACTGACCTGTGTGGCTTTTATGATGCACTGCTACAGAGACTTCTTTCCTATGACTTTAGTGTGGGTAACCTCCTACACTGTGCAGAAGTGCATCAGTTATGTGAAACGTGAATGCAGCTAAACCCGAGTTCAGTGTTTTTGCATACTTCCCTAAGCCTTCATGCTTCTCATTGTTCTAAGTGCTCTAAGGAGCATTTCAAGGTAGCAATACAGAACACAGACTTTATTTTAATTTGTAGGGGCAGATAATGTTTCCAACTAGGCACGATATCCATACTTTGTACTCAGCTGCAGTAGTGAACAGTGCAGAAATATGTCTCTCTGTATGTGAGAACAAATGTTCACAACAGCTCCAGGTGGTGAACACTATGCTCTTCTTCCACAATAGTATGGCAAAGTCAGGGGCTGTTGAGCAACAATCCAGCACACTGTAGAGACAGGGGTGAAGACAATGGGTTCATGCAAATTACCTTGAATTCTGAAACTGAAAGCTATACCCTAGCTCAATAAATTTTCAACTTGTTAATGGTCAGGATTTCACAATTCATTCAAAAAAATCCTTTTCTCATATTTTCTGTCTGGATGGAGAGACCCTAGTAGGAAGCAGCTAGACTCAAGTATCCAGACTAAGCAAAGACATGCTGCCTATTTAGAAGCACTGTTTCCCTTTGGCTTGTTTCAGAACACAGGGCAATAACACACCAAAGCATCTGAACACAGCAGTGTCAAAAAGCTACCTAGGAATAACAACAGATGTGTCTGGTCTTAAAAACCTTCATCTTGTTGAGCAGCTCTACATTGCTGCTATACATCATGTTGAGCTCAGCTTCTCTAAATCATTTGTCATTTCTAGACGTATCTGAAGGGAGGGTGTCAAGAGGATGGAAACAGGCTCTTCTCAGTGGTATTGACAAGAGAAAATGGGCAGAAACTGGTGCACAGGAAGTTTCCCTTAAACATGAGCAAGAACTTCTTTGTTGTGGAGGTGATTGAACAGGTTGCCCAGAGAGGCTGTGGAGTCTCCTCCTCAGGAGACATTCCTGAACCATATGAACACAATTCTGAGTAATGTATTGTAGGGGACCCTGCTTGAGCAGAGAGATTGGACTAGGTATCCTCCAGTGGTCACTTCCAACTTTACTTATTTTGTGATTGTATCTTATACAATATTCTCATTCAACATATATTCCTTGGTAGAGTATACCCAACTCCAAACTTGAATGTAAAAAGAAAAAAAATACGCTCAAAGAAAAGTCAATCCTTTTGAGTGCTCTGTTAAGAATATAAAAATGCGGCAGAAGATAAATGCCCTGGCATTCCAGCTGGTCCTGAGAGATCAGAGGGGTTGTGTGCAGTTTGGCTTCAATTCTGAAGATAAGCAATTTGTCATGTAAGTCTGGTCATGTTCAGTGGGATCCCAGGTGCAGAGACAGTGTGGGTTACACCAGAAATCCTACCACATTAGCAATCCCAGATTCCCAAATAGCGCAGTTCATCAATTCAACACTGTAAGTCTGGTCGAGCTCAATCAGAACTTTCACAAACACAGATGAACCAATAGTGTGGTTTACAAAAACAAGTTTCCTGGTTCGAGCCCAGATCAGCAGCAGGGGGCAYGGCCAAAAAATTGTGCTATTTGATACCACCTTGCAGCACTGCCAGCAATGGGGAAAAGAGACTCTCTCACTTCCAGGAGGAAGTGAGAAATCCAGTGAAGAATCTGTTTCTGGTGGAACAAAAAGTGTGGTGGTGTGGGGAACCTCTCAGACATTATTCATTGTCATGAGTCGATGGTGAGCATTTTCACATGCAAATTACCTTCTTTTTAAAATACTTTCGGTTTTAATATCGCTGCTGTTACTGTTTTTCTTGTCTCATTGCAGTTTCTAGCAAATAACTCGTCTCAATCCAATTTTCACCATTTGTGCCTTCAAGTCTCAACTCCATCCCCAGAGGGGGAAAGGGGAATGAAAGCTGAGCAAACAGCTGGCCATCACACCCACATAATCCCTTCACTGCATCTCTCCCAGCATATCACATGGCATTAGGCCTCATTCCTGCATTATCTGCACCATGGCTCCAGTCACACCTTCAACTCAGTGACTCCAATCACACCTGTACATATTCAATTTTTCATGGTATCCTTACAGGGCAATTCCTAATCCCTCTACTGCACAAATTTAATTTTCATCCACCCAGACCTTATTTATAGCTGATGGATCATTACCCATGTTTTCACTTACTTAGCTATTATTAAAGTAAAACAGAGTCAATATTAAAAGAACAACAGGGTGAAACAGTTTGCTGAAAATTTCCATAGCAGTGGGTGACCATCTGAAAAGGGTGTCCCACTACTGATGCTGTCCATCCTTCACCTATTCCAAGACACTATGTATTTCGTCTGTATTGTGATGGACAGTGATCAGAGTCTTTTATCCATTTTCATGGGTCTGTTTTAACAGTTGTAAATCATTGTAACAACTGTAACATGTGACAGGACCTGGATGATTAAGGACACAACTCTAACAAATATACAAGCRCAAGTATTTGAGTCCCTACTTGCATCTCCAGTGATGTTATCTGCAAATACATAATCACAAAGGGTTCTCATACAAATACATCCTTTTTCAATATGTACAAGTACATTATCAGAAGTTGTTGTGAATGCCCACCAGGACTCTGAGCCATTGACCATCCAAAGGGTAGCGTTCAATGGCTCAAAGTCCTGATGAACACCAGCCAMAAGTGGCATCCCTCAGGGGTCCATACTGGGACCAGTGTTATTAAAAATCTTCATTAGTAACACACATGAAGGGACTGTGTGCATTCTCAGCAAATTTGCAGAAAACACCAAATTGAATGATGTGGTAGACACATCTAAAGGACAGGAAGTCATCAAGAAGGACTTGGACAGGCTGGAGAAGTGGGCCCCATAGGAATATCCTGAGTTCTAACAAGACTAAATGCAAGGTGCTGCACGTGGATCGGGACAGCTGTGGTAGATGAGAAACTTGACATAATCAGGCCATGTGCACTCACCTCCCAATTGTATCCTGGGCTGCATCCAAARCAGCGTGGGCAGCAGGGGAGGGAGGGRATTGTGCCCCTCTGCTCTGCTCTGCTCTGCTCTGCTGAGACCCCACCTGGAACACTSCAYCCAGCTTCGGGGGCCCAGGKCAGGAAGGACATGGACCTATTGGAGCAAGTTTAAAGAAAGGCCACCAAGATGATTAGCAAGATGGAGCACCTCTCCTAAGAGGAAGGGCTGAGAAAATTGGGATGGTTCAGCCTGGAAAAGAGAAGATGGCCTCTGGCGCCTGAAGGGAGCCTACAAGAAAGATGGAGACTTTTGGCAAGGGCATGTATTGACAGGTCAAGAGGAATTGGCCTTAAGCTGGAAGAGGGGTAGGTTCAGGCTAGCTATTAGGAAGAAATTATTTATATAAAGGTGGTGAGGCAGTGACACAGGTTGCCCAGAGAAGTTGTGGAAGCCCCGTCTCTGAAGTGTTTGAGACCCGGTTGGATGAGGCTTTGAGCAATCTGTTCTAGCAAAAGATGTCCCTGCCCATGGCAGAGGGGTTGGAACAGTCAATCTTTAATGTCCCTTCCAACCAAGCCATTGGGTGCAAATTCTTTGCATAAGTCCAGCTGGATGATGTCAGTTCTTCCCTTTCCTGTCACCTCTATAACCCCATTGTAGAAGGCCACCACATTTGTCAGGCATGATTTGCCCTTAATAAAGCCACACTGGCTGTCACCAGCCACATTCTCATTTTTCATATGCCTTAGCATAGCTTCCATGGAAATTTCACACGGGACACAGATGAGACTGACTGGCCTGTACTTCCACAAGTCTTCTTTATCTCACAAGGTCACAGAATCACAAAATGGCTAAGGTTGGAAGGAACCACAGTGGTTCATTTACTCCATCCTCGCTGTTCAAGCAGGATTATTCTAGAGCATATGGCAAAGGATTGCATCCAGTTGGCTCTTGAGCATCTTCACTGAGGGAGACCCAACAACCTCCCGGGGCACAGTTCCTGTTTGTGATTACCCACAGTAAAGAAGTTCTTTCTCATACTCAGGTGCGGCTTTCTTTTTCTGTTTGCTGGCTCTCATTGCTTGGCACCACAGAGAAGAGCCTATGTCCACCTTACTGGCACCAGTCATTGGACATTTACAGACATTCCTGAGATTCCCATTTCAGTTGTCTCTTCTCAAGGCTGAACAGGCCCAGCTCCCTCAGCCTTTCCTCGTAAGAGAGGTGGTCCAGTCCCTTAATCATCTTTGTCACCCTCCACTGGACCCACTCCCGGAGCTCCATGTCTCTTTTGTACTGAGAAGCTCAGATTTGAACACAGCACTCATCAGGGCTGAGTAGAGGAGCAGCATCACCTCGGTCAACTGCTGACGTGCTCTTCTCTTTTTAAAAAGGGAATTTCTTTGAGGAGTATCAATTGCTTCTCTGAGGGTCATGTTTCCTGACCACGTGCAGAAAACAGCGTTGGTGTCACCAGATTCAGGATGCTGTTATGGAAAACGGAGAGGCCAACTACAAGGCCTTTTAAAGGCGGGATTGCTGCTTYAGCTGCTAGACGCCCCGCATCACCACTACTCACGAACACCCACCGCATTGTTTCCGAGAGCGGCGCTCCTCCGCCTCTCCGGGGCAGCGGGCGGCTCCCGCCCCTCTGAGGGCGAGGGGAAGCACCGCCCCCGCCGCCGCCGAGCGCAGCGGGGCCATGGCGGCTCCTCGGGCTGCGCCGCCGGAGCGCGGCCCGGGGCTGGGGCTGGGGTTTGGGTTGGAGCCGGGCAGCAGCACGCAGACATCGCACCGGC